TAAAAAGTTACTATGTCATGTTATTATCAAGTTTAATATTTTTCTTTTCTTTATCAATTCGTTTCTCTAAAAGCAGAGCTTTGAAAAGGTATAACTGTTTCAAATTATTTCAATTATATTATATCATAATTATATGATGATTTTGATTAAAATTATTGATTATGAAGAATTATGAAGAATTTTTAATTTTGAATAATTATCATGAAGAATTGAAATTTCAAATGATTCTATTATCATTATTTTTTAGACATATATTTAAAAATTATTGATTCATAATAAATATTTTTTAAAATAATCGATAAAGAAAATTTTTCCTATATTTAGATTATATTTAGATTTTAACCTAATCGTAATATCAACAACGCTTGAGATTAATGCAAGATATCGAATAGAATGTGATAAAATTACGATTGAAAAATTTATAAATAAATTTGAACAGTTTACTTTCCTATAAACCTTACTATAATAAGTAATATAATAAAATCTTACTTAATAGATATAATAAAATCTTAATAGATATAAATTACTTATTATTAATTCATTTAAATATATACAAATTTACCAAAAAAAATAATTGAGAATATGATATTTATTTTGTATATTAATTATAATATAATATAATATAAAAGAATAGATATATAAAATAGAAGATCGATAATTTTATCTTCCAAGTTTCCTTATTCATTATTTATAATTGCATTAAAAAAGACATTTAGTGAACCTTTCGATGTGCTTTTTCATTGTCAATTTTAACAATTCGATTAGAATCGATAGAATTGATGTAAAAATTAGAATTGAACGTGTAAAACGATTTGATTCTTCTTAATTCCTTATTTATTTCAAAAACGAAAGTTTTTCAATTTTCAAAAATAAAGAGTTTTCAAGCTCTGTTTAAAAATGTTTTGTTTTTTCCACTTCAGTCAGAAGAAAAGATCAGGTGATTAATTGCACAAATATGAAACATTTCCGGTAGACGATGCGTTCTTCGATGATTGCATAATCTATAAATTCACGAGAATTATGTAGCGCGTATAGTTTCTCTATGGGGAAACTATATTTTGGAATTATTGGAACTATTGGAATTATTGGAACAGTTTCTCTAATTATTCGATGGAAAATTGTTGGATGTATTTAACACATTTATATGCCAATTTGGTAAGAGTGTGATGCTCATCTTGCCAAATATCTGCGCAATCGGAAAGAGAAGAGTTTTATAGAAATTTTCTCTCATAAATCGAATCAATTATTTATTCGTGTTACAATCGCGATAATCTTTTCGTGAAATTTTAATAGAAAAGAGATAAAATTACGAAAAATCTCAAATTTTGAAAAAATTTTATCATCGTCCCGTTATTATTCTTGTTCAATAAAATTCTGATCCTATGAAAATCTAGTCTCCTCAATAATAAAATTGAAAATCGATTCGAAGCTTAATTCCATAATGATAGAATTTTCTTGCACTTATGAATTTTCGATTGTTACTTGTTGATATTTGACGACAGAGGCAGTATTTCTTTACTTTGATCATTTTTTGCGATTTTCATACAAAACATGTCTATATGATGGCTATATATATATCGATACGCTAATGTATTATATCCTGAATACGAGATATTGCCACCCGCTCGATTATATATACTCCGATTTTTATATAGGTTCACGCTTCGATTTAACAAAAATATGAAAAATTCATAATATATTATTCAAATCGTTTAGAGAACGATATATTTCCAATTGAAAGTATATTAAAGGTTTGTTATTTTAATATAGAAATTAATATTTGCTATATAATGTCTATGAAATTCCATGATGCCACATTGTAATATGATTAATCATAAGAAATTAAAAAAAGAGATTTTTTTTTAAGCTGAATCCATCACCAATTATTAATTGAGATACAGATATCATTTCATTAAAGATATTTGTATCATATTACGTATATATACGTATTACATATTACATATATGTGACATGATTTACAAACTCTCGATGTATCTTAAAGATGAATTAAATGAAAAAATATACGCGTGATAACGCAAAACATTTATTATGTTTAATAATATTATGAAAAGAATATTCATGAAAAGATGTAAAAGTAAGATGTCAATAAGAAAAAAAAAAATCTCGCTGAACGGAAAATCAAGTTTTGCCCTGATCTATGTCTATCTTTGAACGTTTCTTCTTAGATCTGTGATACAAGTCATGGAAAAGAATGCAAAGAAACACGATCGTGTAAGATCATAATTCGATCTAAAATGTACAAATGATTTTCCATATAAAGTAAAAATAAATAGAAAAAGAAAAGATAATTAAAGGAATAAGGTGAAACTAATGTGAAGGATCAAAAAAAGATATGTCGAAGTAAGCTTAACACATGTCAAATAAATCTGCAAGATACCCGATGGCGACATTGCGTAGCATTAAGCGAGCAATCGAGAACAAGTGGCCGAAAGCAATAACCTGAAAGTCAAGTTTAGCAACTTTCGATATTGGCTTACTCTCTCGGCTATTGTCTGAATTCTCGTTGAATCGATCATTATGTAAATTGCAAAAAGAAAGAAAAGAAAGTGTCACCGGATAAAAAAAAATGAAGAGTCATGCGCACAAGCGCGAACATATCGCATAATTTTTGATGACGATCGCTTTACATAATAAAGATAATATTCGTTAAAATTAATAACATAAAAGTTCGGAAAACGACGATTCGATATGAAATTTACGAAGCGTGCATAAATGAATTTCAGCTCATAGATGTTTGCTATTTTTTTCGATAAACAGTCGAGAATAATTGCTCAAAACGGAATAAACGCATGTAACTAACGCATCAAACGAAGAAATGAATAAATCATAAAAAATATAAAACAAAATGTTTATTGTACGATATCATTGCATTGTGATCGTAGATGGTGCATTAGATAGTCGCATTATGCATTCACAAAAGCGACAAGCATGGAGGAAAGATCAGGAACGGGAATATATATTGGGAAAAGACAGGAAATCGAAAAAGAAAGGCATAAGAGTGCGAAAAGAGAAAAAAGAAACGCAGTATGGAGTAGCGAAAAGTTGTTGGAAAAAAGAATCGATGAGTACGAAGAAGAAAAACGAAAAAAAAGAAAGAAAAGAAAAAGAGAAGAGGCGTAAGCGTACACAGAGTAGCGGAGGCGGTAATGTGGATCGACGGATGGCGTAGTGTTAGGAGGAGGCAGGAGCAGAGAGGCAGGTTGGAGGGAAGGGAATAAGTATAAGTTAGGAGGTGGCGGGATGTCGGACGACGGTATTCGACATAAGTCGCGTCTATGTGTATGTGTGTCGAAAGGGAGCAGAGGGGTAGCCCTCCTCCCTAGGCAGGCTGGCTCAGAAGCAGAAGTGGACGGGCAAGCGATTCAACCTCCTTTCACTTTCAACGAGCGCGCACCGCGCTTGTTGCTTGCTCGCTCGCTTGTCGTGAACGCCGGTGTTTCATGCGACGATGGGATAGCAAACATTTCGTACGAAAATAGGCAACGCTGCCGATTTATCCGTGTATCCGCCCTATAAATCGTTAAAACTGTTCGAAATCTTTCCTCGATTGCACCCGTGACCCTGAGGATCATGGATATTCGTCATCGGGCACACGACCTCTTCTCGAAGAAACGTTGCCACACCGCGACACGACTAACTCTCCATTGCGATGCACATGGATGAACGAGCGCGGGCTCTCCTTTTATGGCGCGAGATTTTACTTCTTTAGTATTATTCTCATTGTTTTCCATTTTTTCCCTTTATTTTTATCTTTTTTATCTTTTATATTTTTAAATTCTTAATTTGCTTTTTTAATTTGCTCTATAAAAGTTCAAAGAGGAGAAAGAATTGAATTTTATCTATATCAACTTTAAAATGATATTTTATTTCTTTTAATTATTTTAATATTATTTTTTCGTTTTCATTTTTTCTTCTTTCTTTTTTTCTTTATCTCGTCTATTCGCCATTTCATTAAATTCGTTTATCGGTTCAAACCGATTGATCGATTATGCTATGCCTTTCAATTATGCACATTTTAATTCTTCGCCTGACAAAGGAGATCTATATCAAGAATTGCTCTGTTAGACAATTTCCGAGTCCCGGAATCACATATCTAGAAATCTATCGTTTACAATATGTAATTTTAACTCGATCTTAATCGATCGAAGATGCATTAATAATATATACCTAGTTTCGATTATAAATATCTAATCTATATTGTATCAATCTATATTGAAAGAATCAACTTTGTATTAAAATGTTTCAAAATTTTGATCGCGTATTAATATATTATTTATATAATTTTGAAATCATTTTATTAAATCGATATACCGATAAAGTAATATCTGAAAGAAGAATATTAACAAATTATCTGTTAAAAATAATTAAGACCAAAAAATAATTTATATTGACAAGTCGTAACATTCGCTTTTAATAATGATGCACGTTCAATATGCCAAATAACACCTGCGAGTTTCGTAGGTGGAGATCCATGTTTTGCAAGTAAAGACTCATTTGCATGAAACAGTAAGTAGACTTGTTTGAAAGACGTAATGCAATGACAGTTACAAGTCGTTCACGCTTTGTCCCATTTGGCTAAGATTAGATCTCATTTCCATTTTGCTTGAATGGCATTACCTTTGAAATTTGAACTCTGGCGGTGACTTCGTTTTATCACTAAATTATATCATGTTTTACAATTATCATTCTCGGATAATTAAGCATCTTTCTAAATATATAATAACATTAATTGAAATATTCAAATTAAAAATCAATTATTGAAGCGATGAAAAAAGAAAAAAGAAAGTAAATAAAAATTAAGAGTTAAAGAAATATGAATAATGAATAAGAATGGAAAGTGAACGAGCCTCATTCTATTTGGTTAGTTAGCTAAAAAATTCGAATAATTCAAAGATTCGTCTTTCAGATAAACTTGCGACTCGAGATGAGGGACGAGCATGTTGTTTCAATACGTTTTTGTACGTTTACTTTTGTTATAGCCGTACGAGCGGATCGGATGAGAGGCGGTAGGAATAAATTTGGACCTATGTACAAGAGAGACCGAGCGCGGAAGCTACAAATGATGAGACAACGGCAGCTGGCACTGCAAACGATACGCGGCAGCCTCGGTGACCCATCGAACTATCCCTCCGCCGTAACGCCTTTCCTGCATATTAAACAGGAAATACAAATACCTCAGGTCTCGAGTCTAACCTCTTCTCCAGATTCGAGTCCATCCCCCGCAGCCGTGGCCGCTGGTTTGGTCACGACACAAGCTGGTAGCGGAGCTGGTCAGCATCAACTGATCGCACCGTCTTCCCAGCCAAACATTTCTGCTGGTAATCACCTGCACAATCTCAACCCTGGCCTGGATAGTAAACTCTGGGCTGCCAATTCCACCACCCCGAGTCCGAAGGCCTTCAACTTCGGCGAACAGTCCACACAATCTCATGGAGCCACTGGTTCCGCACCCTCTACCGCCACGTTGAAAACTAGTCCGATGATAAGAGACTTTGTGCAAACAGTCGACGATCGCGAGTGGCAGGCATCGCTTTTTGGATTATTACAAAATCAAACGTACAATCAGTGTGAAGTGGACTTGTTCGAATTAATGTGCAAAGTGCTCGATCAAAATTTGTTCTCTCAGGTGGACTGGGCAAGGAATTCTGTATTCTTCAAGGATCTCAAGGTTTGTGTCAATATTTTTTTAAATATATTACATTTATCGTGTGTATATATATATATGATATTGTATCGTATAATATAGATCTGAATTTATTTAAACGTCATAAAAATCATTTTATATATAGAAGAAAATATATATATTATATTTAATGTTGTCGTAAACTTTAAACAACAAACTTTGTCCTCTTCAAATTTGTTATAGAAAAGATTATAAATGAAAACTATGTAGTAATAATTATTCTGTATGAATATGGAAATTATTAAAAATAACAAAGAAATTTGTTTATAAAACGTAATATAAAAACGTAATATATTAGATTCTTAAAAGGTTAAATTGATATATAGAATTATGAAAAAATGAATTGAAAAAAATCATATTTTGACGAAACCAATAATTTAAATCTTTAGAAATCATGCGTGTCGCTATGATCATTGATCGGTAATCTTGTAAGTAATATTTGTAAATTTATATCAAAATTAAATTCTTGAATTTTTTTCTTGCATATTATATATTTATAAATTATAAATTAATTATATCATATTATATCATATTATATCATAGATTATAATGTTTCTTATTTTTTTTTTTTACATTTATTACATATTCATATAATTTTATTTATTATAACAAAACTTATGGCAGGATTAGCGATGCAATCTTTTGATCTGTATACATATCATTTATTTTTTGATTATGCATTGAATTTTATGGTACTTGTCAACTATGTATTTGGTTATCGAATTAAATATCGATTATTTTTTTGTGTATCGACTATTTTTAGATCAACTGATTTTAGTGCCATACATAAATTAGTGCCATATATATTAAACATGTATATTATATAGCCTATCAAAATTGATTTTAACCATCGATGAAAATATTTTTCAAGAGAAGTTAGTTCTTACCGATAAATAACTCCGCGCTGGCTTGTTGGTGGTATGAACGGGGATGTGAGGTAACCAACAGCATTGCACAATCACTGAATGATTTCAAGCATCGCCTCATATCTAGGTCATAGCAAGATACGTTTCTGGGTTATGGCGGTTATCCTAAAGCAGGCCCATGTTAATTATAAATTATTTATTTAACTGATTATATAGTTTTTATTATATTTTTACTTATAAATTTTATAAAAAGTATTATCATAATTTCATCCATACTTTTTGCTTTTATAGTTTACAAACAATATGGAGCAATATATCAATATTTTATTTTTTATTAAATTGTATCTTATACAAATTAAAATGATTTTTTTTTCATAATTAATTATGCTTTTTTCATTGTTATTTTTAACATTCAAATTTGTAATTTTTTTTTTAATTTATTAATTTTATTAATTTGTTTTCAAAATGTTTCCATGCTATAAATGAAAATCTCTTTGATAATAATTGAATTTATTTGAAAAATAGTAAAATTCTTCCATTTTAATATAATATATATGTTCTATATGTTTTTATAATTTATAATATTTTTTTGAACAGGTTGATGACCAAATGAAATTGCTACAGCACTCCTGGTCAGATATGTTGGTGCTCGATCATCTTCATCAAAGGTTACACAATAATCTACCTGATGAGACTACGCTTCATAATGGTCAAAAGTTTGATCTCCTTTGTCTCGGCCTACTCGGGGTTCCTTCTTTGGCAGATCTTTTCAATGATTTATCATCCAAACTTCAGGAACTCAAATTCGATCTTTCGGACTATATATGCATGAAATTCTTGATGCTGCTCAATCATGGTATGCTTTTTTTTTTTCAATTTTCCTTACCTTTAAATCTCTATATATCAATATATTTATGTATCAAATTATTATTGATATATAAAGTTGATTGATACATTATTTTTTAAATATACAGAAGTTCGTGGATTAGTTAACAAGAAACATGTACAAGAAGGTCACGAACAAGTTCAACAAGCTCTTTTGGATTATACATTGACGTGTTATCCTTCTATACCGGTATGTTGACCTCATTCATTAGTATTCTTTTTTTTTTTTAAATTTTTCGTAAAATTTTATACATTTTAACACATATATAAATTAAATTTTATATAATAGGATAAATTTAACAAGCTGCTAGCAGTATTACCAGGAATCCACGTGGTAGCGAGCAGGGGAGAAGATCATCTTTATCAAAAACATTGTAGCGGTGGAGCACCAACTCAAACTCTTCTCATGGAAATGCTTCATGCTAAAAGAAAATGAAACGATAAATTCATTTGGCACTTTTGCCATGAATTAGTCTATTGCTATATCTCAAAAATCAAGATAGAGCTCCTTATTGTCAATGTGGACCTCAAGTACCTATTAAGAGCTAATATACTAAATGCTTAGGTGTTGGACCAAGTTAAGGAGCTCTGGTTCAAAAAATACCTATGCAAACGAATCAAGTATAGACGTACATAATTTACATATATACATAATATATGTATTATAAAATGTATCTAAATATATAAACATAATGACATATATTTTCTATATTTGATGTTGAAGTTTTAGAGATGTATCCATGAAGAATTATTACCCCTGTTGGTGGGTACAAGCGCAGGGAAACAGTAAGCAAGATGCCTTGAAAACAGTACAAAGGGTGGTTAACAAAATATTGGTTAAAGGGCAGGCAATTTTTGTCTAAATAAGTAAAGCTATTTTTCTAATACTAGATGCGATTATTTTTAAGCACATACCACTGAAGCCTTGCTCTCATTTTAACAAAAAGATAATCCTAATGGTAATAAACGAAAAAAATTGTCGACTCTCCAGTCAATCGTGCTTCTGCAAGGGATTCAATGGGCATACTTGAATGACAGTAAAATTTCATGTGATATACTTATATATAACATATATACATATATATATGTCGCACGGCCACCTGGGCATCCTTAGAACTTCCTATAAAAAAATCTGCATTTTGTCACACTTGCACACGGCAGGGCTATTATATTGTAAATACTAGTTAACACATTCCAATTATGTTGTAAAGTGAATCATGTTAAATATGTAATTATAATATTTTTGTGTATAGTTTAATGAAATAAATATATTTCTGTTGCTTATTGAGAAAAAAATCATTAGCTACTTAATGTCTTCACTAATTTAGACTTTTATTCATGTATTTCTTTTTATTATTTTTCAAATAGGTGGCGGAAAAAAATAACCACAGATTGCGATATTTTATTATTGTATATTGTATCGTAATAAAGATTCTGTTTAAGAAATAAAAGAATCATTGGAGCAAGGTTTATGTGGTCCTACATTATCTAGCGATTAATATTAAGTACATAAGATCAATATTGTCTTATCGCAGTTGTTAAATAGAAATATTTACTGAATGTTAAGATAGTGATCGAACGTAGTAATTTTTCACTAATAGATTATTATTGTTTAGTCAATAGTCAGAAACTTTTCAGTGCTGTGAAGGTTGTCTTTTCGACGCCTGTGGTATCTAAGCCATCGGTAATTACACGTGCTAGATTCGAGGCTCAAGTGTGACAACAGGAACAGAAATCTTTGCTCGTACTGGTAGGCTGGTAGTACCACCCTTTGCAACTCCTACTGTTTATATCCTCTATCAAAGAAGTACCTGGGAAAAATGCTATTTTACTACTTTCACTTTTCCACCGACTTCGATATAAGATATTAAGTATAGATTTAAATAATTTGTTGATGTATGTAAAAAAAAAAACTCGATGCCACATTAGATTAAGAATCGAGTGTTGAATCAAATCAGGAGGAGTAGCTGCGAGTATTACTACCGTGAAAGATATATATATATATATAAATATATATATATATATATATATAAATATATATATATTTTTTCGAAAGCTTGCATGTACTTATCGTGTGAGTAAAGATTTATGTCCATGGTAAAATTTTTGAAATCTTCGATATAAATACAAATCATATATTGACATGTTCCCAAATTTTCAAATCGTCTGGTTCTTTTAATTGATTGATCAATTGAAAAGATACTTTATATTATTATTAACTTTTTAATGGATTAACTTTATTTAACTCGCATATAAATGTCTACCTCTTTGTAACTGTATTAAGTCTTACACCTTTACATTTTTAGTAAACCACATACCTCAGAATAGACACCCAGATAGCAAATTAAATGAAATATATGAATGTTACCTATGTAGACTTAAACTCTACAATTTCTATAATATGCGTATGGACATAATATAAAGGTTCCATTCAAGTATTGTACCCATTATATTTTCATATTAACTATTTTAATTATTATTGTGTTTATTCCAAATTAGATTATATTTCTATATGATATATGCGATCGAAATTTAATAATTATCAATGAAGTCTTTAAAATTCCTATTTATGTTGTGTTCTTGTTTGGGTAAAGTCAATTAATATTTTATTTATTACATTTTCATTCAAATCTTTATTCAAGACTTCTTGTAGAACGTGTCGGTCTGATAATTTTGGAACAACTTACAGAAATCGTAAACAAAATATCTCAAAAAACGAAAATGAAAATTGTCTCTTCTAAATATATGTCTCTAAATGATGAACTTTGTATGTATCCATCCTATTTAATCGTCCGCTCGATTCTGTTATAAAGTGTTTATTAATAATTGTAATTAAGAAATATACATAATAATAATGGTGTTATAAGAATTGTGTTAAATATGTACAGTTACCAATTATAATTGGCGAACGATCTAATTTAATATCGATGTGATTTTTTGATCCAACAAATAATTGGAATTAACATTAAATGATGAACTATTATGCGTTGTTAACACTGCCATTAGGAGTTGGCAATTGTAAATTATGTAGAAAAGAAATGATTAATTGTAAATATATCTTTATTATTAACTGATAACTGTTCCTTTTTAGGATTGACAGCGCTATTTTTATATATTATACTAATTGAACTCCTATTAAATGAAAATATTTCCCTTATCGCACTCCTGTTTTTGGTATTATTATATAAAAATATGTGCAATGACCACAAAATGTACAATAGTTTTTGAAAGGAGGGTAAAGGATGGTACTATAAATTATTAAGCAGACAATTTTCAAAAATTTACAAATAGTATTTCAAAACATTCAATTATTTCTTTATACATACAAGTTATTATAATTTAAATGCGTTTATGTACAACACAAAGTTTATTATAATTTGTAACAATGGTGTCATTCGTATACCGAATAACATGTATATTAAAACATTTGTTTGCTTTGTACAAATATGATAACAACATAAGAAAATGCACAGTGGTTAATAAAGACATCAGCTAACTACTGCACACATCTTCATATTTTTAATTCATAATGTTTACATTTTTACATTAAATTTATTAATCATATTGCCTAATCTTATACATAAAATTGTGCCTTATTACAATATAAAACAAAATTTAAAACAAATTATTTTTTTATATTTGAAGATACAAAATCAGAAGTACAATATATTGAATTGTTATAGTAATATAATTTATAAAGGCACTATTTTTTTTTACTTAGTTAAACAACTGTAAATTGTACTTATTTCACATTTGACTAATATAACGTTAAACTACTAAAACATCATGCATGATTATTATAAGATTTAAAATAAATAAGAATGTTCACACTTTTTTCATTAATGATAAACAATTGAAAATGATAAAAATTAAATCATTACTAATTATTTTCATATAGAAAATATATTATATAAATATATTTATAATTATAAATATATTTTCGTATAGAAAATATATTATATTCATGATGGATCAGATTTTAAATATAGATTATATGCTTCCTCATTCATCAGACTTTTTAGTTCGTCAGGTTTACTTAATTCTACTTTAAATAACCATCCTTTTTCATAACAAGAAGTATTAATTAAACTAGGTGTTTTTTCAACTGCTTCATTCTTTTCTACTACCTTTCCACTTACAGGACTAAATAATTCAGAAGCAGCTTTCACTGATTCTAAAGCTCCACATTCAGCTGTAAACAAATTAATTTTTTTAGACATTTGAGTTTCATTTTTATTTTAAAAAACGTTTTAGAATTTTCTGACCTTCTTTTTTTATTTCAGATCCAATATCTGGAAGCTGAGCATAAACAACATCTCCCAATGCTTCTTGTGCATAATTGGATATTCCAATTATACCTATATTACCATTAATTGTTATCCACTCGTGTTTTTCTGTGTATAATCTTTCTATAAATTTTGTTTATAATAATTTAATATAAAATATTAATAATATTTTATTACAAATTAAAAATATTTCAATATGATTTTAAGTTAATTATATATAATATTAGTAAACATATTAAGATTTTGTTTATAAATATTAAAAATATAATATAATATAATAATCAATATTATAAAATATATTTTATCAAATGTTTGAAAGAAATGTTTTAAACTTACTGATATTTAAACAACGGGTACTAGTGATGGAACGTGAAACATGTAACGATATTTTTATAGCAGAAATATTAAATAAGCTTTTTCTCGAAATACGTGGAAATGTTCTCACAGTATATTTTGTCATTTGTGCTATTACTTTTGCCATATCGAGTTATATTTTTCAATTTTAAAACAATCGAAGAGCTTAACCTTAATAAATTTTTATCGTGCACTTGAACGTTTCAATCTTGACTAATATAAGTAAGTACGAAAAGTTTCTTGATAGAGCTTCATATAAACGAAATGCGTGATTTAAATGAATTAAAATATTTCTATGAAATAGCATATATTATTTTATCAATAATTCTTATCGTAGAATATACATTTCATCATCATATAATTCGAACTGTTACGAATTGAATATAGTGATATAAAAATATATAGATATATTTTATATTTTATAATTGTTAATTTTAATTTGATAATCAATTTAATAAATAATGTATCAATGTAAATAATATATATAAGAATAAATTTTGTATTTTCTAAAAAGAGATTATAAAATATAAAATATTAAAAGGGAAATTAGTTTAAATTAATCTGAATTATTTAGGAAAAGTTTTTAAAAAAATTTTAAAAGTATTGCATAATTTTTATTAAAAAATTTTTAAAAAATTACATAATATATACAACAATAACTAGTTAATATAAATATAAATTTTATTTAAATAGAAAAATTCCGATTTATTAATTTTGATAATAAAAATAAAGTATTTTTATTCATATGAAAAAAATATATATAAAAAATGTTGAAATTATAAGTATGATCACGTGAGGTTAAAAGATCAATAGAAATATATTCAGCAGATAACATAATTTATGTTATCAAGTTTGTGCAATAACAGTGACTTCCATAATAGCTATAGCCTAGACAATAAGTACAAATAAGTTCAATTATAAAATGAAATCACAAATAAGATATAGAATAGATTACATTATAAGAGAACATATTATTTTTTCAAATTTTAAATGCAGAATTGGACTTAACTAAATAAATTAATTAAAATTATTATATATAATTTTGCATTTGAATATACTTTTTAAAATTCAATTTTATTTTGATAATAATTTTTCATTTTAAATTCTAATATCACGGAATTGGAATAATGGAACGCGAAATTATATATTGCTTTTTAGATTATTGGTTTCAATATATTTTCTTATAAATTTTTTGAAATTTCAGATTTTTTTTTTTTATTATTTATTTTTATTATTTATTTTAATATTATTTTCAACGTTATTAATGTAACAGAAAATAAGATTATAATTATTAATATAATAAGAATTATTTTAATATGATTCTGTCACAATAAGAATGTTAAATATTGTTTTAAGAACATTTATTGTAATTTTCTTCTGCTTTTTTCTTAAAAATTTTTTTTTAATATCTTTTAATATTTTTTTAATATATTTCAATACAATATTAAATTGTACAATATTAATATATTAAAAAATATATTAATATTGTGTTACAATATTAAATTTGTATATATTTGATTTCTAAAAAAGTAAATTCTCTAATATAATATTAATTTTAAAGAGTTTTTAAATAGGATTTACTATAATTATTTAAATTAAAAAAATATTACATTAGCTTTTTAGCAAAAAAACAAAATTTATTTAAAAATAAACAATATTTATTTAAAAATTTATTATTTGAATTTCTTTTATTAAAAAAAAATGTAATAAAGAATATTTGTATTACAATTCTATCATGAATTATTAGAAAGATATTACTTTTTTTTAAATACGTTAATCGCATAAATTAAAATTAAATCATAAACCTATAGTATAAGAACGGCCACCAGGATTATGTATAGGTCCTGGAATAGGTTCGGTAATGCACCATTCATACCAAACATTTTTAGAATTACATAAACGCCAGAAATGAACAACTATTTGGTCCCCGGCTTTTAATTGTATTGGTTCCTATAGCAATAAATTGTATTTTATATTTCTTTTTTTAATGATACAACGATATAAATTTATCTTACCCTAATTGGAAAAAAAATAGGAAACCAACTGAACATTCCAGGACTATGTGTGCTAGGTTCTATACTCAGAGTGATATTATTGAATAAAACAGTATCAAAATATCCAGAAAAGCCATGTAATACAGAATTTTGCTGTACTTTAAATATTTTTGTATCATATCTTGAATTATCGATAACACTTGCTGAAAATATAAAAATATTTGAAAAATAATTAGTTTGCTAATTACTATTAATTAATAAAAATAATATTGATTTACTAACCGTTATTTGGATGATTAAATGTAAATAATGGTTGCGGTTTTGCTATGTCGTATTTATTTTGAAGATGAACTACATATGAGGTCTCAAAATGAGCCAAAGAATGTTTATCTTTATCTCTGCATTGTCTTACTTCATTATATAATTTAGATGATTGTACTGGTGCAATATATGATGTGTACGAAGTTGGTATACATATTCCATCGACTAATGTAAGAATAAATATAAAAATGAAAAATAATAACAATTATTAATAATTATTTAATAATAATAATAATAATAATAAAAAACCTTTTAAAAACTTTTGAATTCCATCTAAACATTCTGGAGAAAGTTCATTATCGCCAAAAGATCCAAGTAATTCTGATACCATGATATCAGCATTTTCAGGAGGGTTCCATTCTCTCATATCACAAGATACAACTGTTACTTTATTTTCCCAAAGATCTTTTTCTAATGCTTGTAAACTACATATATAATAAATTTCAAATTACATTTTTCTGCTTAATGTACAGAAAAATATATGATTATTAAATCTTACGTTAATACTGCATTAGGATTTTTTTCCACAGCATATATTTTAACCGGTTGTTTTGCTCTTTCTCCCGCATTTAAAGATGCACGAACAAGAGGTCCTCTTCCAGCTCCAACTACCATTATTATACTAAACATTAAAATAGAATTTTGGTTTTAATAATTCATTTTTGTAATTAATTATAATTATAGAAATATAGTTATGTTATTAATTATAATTATAACTATAATGATATACTTAATACATTTCTCTATGTTTGTCTTCTATTTTGTCTACAATGGCAGAAATTGCTTGAAAAATAGCAGTTTGATATTTTGTATATTTAACGGGATCTTTTTCAAATACTTCATATGTTTGAGATTCAAGATTATCCATAAGTGGTTGCAAAGGACATTGCAAATAATCTTCATAGCCTCGAGTATATCTTTCAATTAGTCCATTTGACTCACAATCCTATAAAAAATTATTAAATTTAAATAGAAATATTTGTACCATCAGAAAATTAAAATCAAAAATATAAAAAATTTTACCTTCCATAAATATTCTAAATAATTATGATAATAAGTAATATTTTGATACCGATTCTGTCCTGTAAGTATAAATTGTACTTCCAACAAAGAAAATTTCTTGACTAATGCTTGATGTGCCTTACTCAATACAGGATATCCTTTCTTATTTGTAATAAATAATGTTGTTGGAAAAATTAAACACTTAACTGGTTCACCTAACCACCTATCAATCTTGCAATTATATCAACTTTGTTACATTTATATTTTAATTATTAATAACATATATACAAAAAAATAATTTTTACATACTTCTTCTTGATCAGGAAGATCATGACTTACAATTAATGCAACACCTAATTTTCTATTATAATCGCAAACTACTCTAAAGGCATTCCACCATTCCCATGGACTTTCTACCATACTACATTCTTTTTCTCTGTAAGAATAAGCTTGTTTAATTGGATTTTCCATAGGTATTTGTACCCAAACCTATAATAAAATGAATAGATGTTACAATATGATGAATTATATAATATAAATTATTAAATTAATATACCTGTAAACTACATGTGCTTGAAAGCTTATCACAGATAATTCTACTAAGATTTGCATTTTCTTTTATTCCGTTTGTTAATTTAAAAGTAACTCCTACAAGACCTAAATGACTTGCCAAAGTTAATTCTTGTTTTAAAGTTTCTTCGCTGTTTTTTTTTAAGCTAGGATTTTTTGAATCAACTTTAATATATGGTGATAATTTACCAATGATTAAAGTATTCCAATCTATAAAATAAGTAAGAATATTAATTTTATTAAAATTTTTTTTATTTTTCAACATGCTTACCAGAACTACATAAGACTATGTCTGGTCTGGTAAATGGACCAGTACGATTTTTTGCATTTCCAGAAACAAATTCTCTCTTAAATAATGGATGAACAAGTGGAACACATATAAACTCATATCTGAAAATTAATAATAATAATATTAATAATAAATTGGAGAATATAATAAATAAAATATAAATCATAATTTATTATTTACTTGGATGAATTTGCTGTGAAAAGACAATTACTTAAATCTGGTGCTGCACAAAAGTCAAGACCACAAGAAACTGGTCTTTGACTTGACATTATGCTTTATCATTAAATGTAAAAGATGAATCCTAAAAATATATTACAAATACAATATTTAATAAAATTTATTTATTTATTGTTTTACAAACACCGGGTATTACCGGTATTATTCAACAAAGAAAAATATGACATGACATATAATAATTTATAAATTATGTTTATTATACTAAAATATAAATAAAAAGAACAATTATGAATAAAAGAACAATTGATTAATAATAATTAAAAATTTTAATTTGTATATATTACTATACATAATCAAAAAATTAAAAATCGTCTACACACCAATTGCACGTGTAACACTGTTAGTTATAAGTACTAGCAAAAAATATCAGAAATAGGTATTTTTATTAAATGCAAATAAATTTACATCGATTTTAAATAATAAAAATTTTGTAAAAAAAATAGATATAATTTAAACTTAAATATATGAAATTTATTTAAATTGTTTAATTATATTTGAATTTAAAAGAAAGAAAAATGCTTCAAATACTTAAAGTTATTAGTTCTTATGTGTATATATTTGTATAATTTATTAATTTAATGTCAATATAATATGTAATATATTTTTTTTATTATGAGATTATAATTTCTTTCCTATTTTATATATCATATTACGTAAATGAAAAAAAATAATTTTTTATACAATTTATTAAATTATGACATTAACCAATCAGAAATAGTAGTTACTTTTGACATCGACCATTTTAAACGCAGCTTTTAATGCTCTAGTCCATGCTAGACGCTTCATGACTCCATTTCCTTGAGCTTTCCATTTTGCCTCCTTTTCTTGTGCTGTGATCGAAGTTGTTAGTTTTGTGGTATGTAAATGTTTATTTTTCTAATCAATTCGTAATAGAAATTATATATTAAAAATTGTAAATACAATTTAAATTATTCAAGTCTAAAATTAGCAAAAATTTATACGATAATAAATATTTTCTTAAAAAATTAACAAATAATCACATTGTGAGAATGCGTCCTTTGATATATAAGTAAAAGTAAAATATCAGTCAAATAAATTTTAAATAATTAATTTTTGTTTTATATGCATAATATTTATTTTTGTTTTTAGCTAAAACATTATACATGTAATTATAAGTTTTTATTTTCTATATGAAAAATCGAATACTTAATTCATTACAAATTATTTAACTTCTCATTTCTGAAATAGATATTTTTTCAGAAATATCTCTGATTTTTTATTTATAAATAAATAATTCAGAAACAAAATTGTATAATAAAATAATAAAATATTTCTTAAATATATTATATTTTTATATTTAAAAAGCAATTGTTATAATTTCTATTATGAATAAATAAATAAATAATATATAAATTATATATAATATAAAAAATGTATTATTATATATAATATATATAAAATATATTCTTATACATAATATATTATTATTTGGTTTTAGATACAATGTCTTTCAACCGAGGAATAAAACGTGATTCTTTTGGGAATCGAAATTTTAATAACCGAGGAGGAGGTGGTGGTGGTGGAGGACGGGTTGGTAACATGGGAAGTGGTGGTGGTGGAGGAGGTATGGGTGGCAATATGGGTGGTGGAATGGGTGGTGGTGGTGGAGGAGGTGGTGGAGGTGGTGGTGGAAGTGGTGGAATGAATCCCTGGGAAGGAGGAATGATGCCTGGCAGAGGAATTTTACCAACACCTAATAATAATTTGTCTTTAGCATCACCGCAAGCACAATTAGCAATAGCCAGCAATCTCCTTACAAATTTACTTCGCAGCCAACAAGAAGTACAGCCTCAGGTAATTAAATTTTATTCATTATATTATATCATCTGTCATTTTTATGATTTGTGTTCGTATGTATGTGTGTGCGTGTGCGTGTGCGTGTGTGTATGTGTGTACACACATATTTATTTTATAAAAATTTATAGCAGGTACCATCACTTCTTAGCCTTGGAAATAACTTTTCTGGACCAGGACCTAACTTTCCAAATCAACAGAATTTTTCTTCAGGGCGTTTTAATGATCGTCCTGTTAGACATCCTATGAAGAATCAACGACCACAACCATATAATAAGGTATGAATATAATCTTTATTTGATATACTGTTCATTTTGATTGAAAAGAAAAATGTAAGGGCAATTTTTAGTCCACACTACTTTTTTTTTTTATACGTCAACAACACCAATCCTTAGTTTGAAAGTTTGAAAATCTCCTTTTTATATTCATTGATCGATTCATTAATGAGGCTTTCAGTTAGTGGATGACATGCTACGTGGCTACCCTGTGCAGTTAATAAGTATAAGCAATTCTTATTACTAGTTATGCCAAAATTAATTTTCATAGGAGAAAATTATCATCTTAATGTTATTCATTAAAAAAACACGATAACAAGACGTGTGATTTCAAAATAGAATTTCTCATTTTTAATGGAAGTTAACCGTGATTTTGGGTAACAAATTTCAGTATAGATATATTTCTCCTCTAACTTGGTTCATTTATAATCCACTCAAGTCTTCTATTCGTCATTGTAGCTAAAATTGATGGAAGAACAATATTCGAAAATATTGATTACAAGCTACATTGTTCATTGACTTAACTTCTTCTTCTTGTTGATTATTTTTCATTGAGCTTTATTGAGCTACATTCAAAGGATAAAAGTATGTGTTTTATAAATATCATATCTTATGATCAATAAGATCATTGCCTGTACAAAAGATGCGATGATTGTATGCATCTTCAACTATTTGCTACTATTTTCCTTTTCCCTTCCACTAGATTGTGGAAATACTGACCTTTGATGTTCATTGGAACACTAAATACGTCCTGCTTCCGAATTGAGTAGTATATTTTTCTCCCTCAAATATCCCAATGGTTGCTAAAACCAAATTCAATTTGAGAAGAATCGCAATTATATCAGATACTTCTCATGACGGTTTGGTCATTTGACCTACATGACTAGATGGGCAATCGCCCCCGTGATGGCCCTGGTGGGCGACGTGGTCCATCTGCACAACAATCTCGTGCACCCCAGTCTGGCAATCAGCGTATGAATGGAAACCAAACTCAACATCACAACGATAAATCTTCTAAACCAATTCCTGCCTCTAAACAAAATCAGACTGCCAAAAAGGAACAGCAGGACGTTAAGACCTCTGATAATGAAAAAACAGAAGCACCTGCTGTAACAAGGTAAGCTCCTGGTGATTGTGAATAGTTTCTTCAAACTTCAGTAAGTCTCATTCTGTCACCTATTTCTGTATGTACGATGTTTGTTACGTACATATAATTGCTAAAAAATTAGCATTGTGTCCTTTCTCTTGTCTTTTAAAGAAATATATACATACGTATATATACATACATACATATATATATATATATATATATATACATATGTCTACATATTATATGTTCACTCCTCATTGTTGATTAAACTCAACTCACATTTCAACTTTAAATTTAGATTATCTATAATAGTTTCATGACATTAGAATTTCATAATCATGTAAAATATTCCCGATGTATTCTTCTTTCAATATATATTATCCAAATATTTGTTTATAATAATAGGTTGATTAAATGTTTTTACAGTTGTTAGAAGTGTGAGTTATCTTCTTTTAACTTAATATCATGCCCAATTTCTTTCTAGTTATTGATATTGATAATTTTGTACATGCGTGTTTTTAATAAAGCACATATTAAAGAAATATTATATTAATTAATATCATTAAAAGAAATATATTAAATTTAATTATCATTTATTATTATAATAAAAATTTTGTTTGTTTGTATAATAGTGAAGAAAACGAAGAATCAGAAGACAAGAAAATTGATTGGAAGGATATAAAAAAGGAAACTGAGGATGTTCAAAGTGTTGAAACTGAAGAAGCAAAAGAAAAATCTCAGGATGATGGACAACAAAAATCAGATAAGCCTGCAACAGAAGAAATAGCGGCAAGGGAAACAAATATAATTGACAAGGATTCAAAAATGACAGGGAAGAAGTCAGAAGCTAGACATGCTGAAAGTCGTTATGCGGAAGTTCCAATGAGTCACATGTTCTGTCATATATGTAATAAGCATATGTGGGATGGATATGTATGTATTTAGTATTTATTATATATTATCAGCTTAAGCTTTATTAATGTTCTTTTATTTTTTTAGTCTTTCGAAAATCATTTACGAGGACGAGCACATCAGTTGATGATGGAAAAATTAGATGAATCATATAAATTAAAAGTTGATTTGATGCGACATGAATTAAGAGTAGCAGAAGAACAACGTGAACTAAGTTTGACTAATTCGAAACGTCGTGGGAAAAAGGTAAATATAATACATATAAATATAATAAATTGATATTATTGTTTATTTTTATTTCTTTGTTTAGGTTTCTGTGGATCTTAATGTACGTGAATATTGTACAATGTGTGATTTAAACTTCTATGGAACATTATCTACTCATAGAAAGAGTGAAAAACATCAACAATTAAAAACATTTTTACATCCAAGATGTTTCCCATGTTTAAAAGAATTCCCATCGCGTATTGAATATGATGAGCATTGTTTAACTCCTGGACACATGAAGAAAGCTGTACAATGTGAAGAACAGCGGAAAAATAAAAAGAAAGGTAGATAAAAAAATCATTTAAAAATATATAGTTTCAGAAAAAAATTATCTTATCCTTATTTTTAATTGTTTTCATTCATATAGAAAAACTTGCAAAAGGAGAATCTGAAATACGTACTGCTGAAGATGAAGAAAAAGATATTGGTCCTGATAATAAAAATGAAAAAGAAGAAGATATTACAGGAGAACAAGAATATATTACAGATATTGTTGAGAATTTGGCCGAAAAGAAATTGAAAATTCCATCTTATAAATATTGTCGACAAAATCAAATTTCAATTGGTAATTAAACACATATATCAATTGTTTTACTTTACTTTTTATTAAATTTTAACTTGCAATATTTATTTTTTCTTAGGAAAATCTATGGTGAAAGAAGTTCAAGGATTTTATTGTGAAAAATGTAGGAGATTTATGCTTTTAGTTGAAGATATGAATGCTCATTTACGTAGTATTACTCATTATCGAAATTTCGTACAAGAAGTAAAAACCTTAACTTCGAATATAGAAACTACAGAACAGAAATCAACAGAAAAATCTGAGGTATAATTAAATAAGTAAAAAAATTTATAAATATAAATTTATAATTTATATTAAAAAAATGTAAGAGGTAATATTTTTTTTTCTTTTTTTTTTTTGTTGCAGACAATTGAAAATGCTCAAGAAAATGATAAAGAATACGATGGAAACTGGAAACGTCGTAAAATAGCTAATCCTGAAGATGAGAATAATATCGAAATGAAAGAAGTGCAAGAAAACAATACTGAGAATGCAAATCCTCAAAAAAAGACCGATGGAGATGAAAAATATGATCCACTTGAAGCTGATGCAGAATCTGAAGAAGAAGAAGCTCATGAAGCTGAAAACAACGAACAATCTTCAGAAAATGTTATTAATACTCAAGAAAAGAAAACGCCAGTTGATAAAATGTGGGCTGATATCGATAATGATAACGAGGCGGAAATAGGTAATTTAATTGATGACGGAGATGAAAAAGAACATGTTGACCATGAAAAATCCATTCAAAAGTTAGATAGAGAAAGTCCACAAATAAAGTCAACACGTGGTCGAGGTTTTGCACGTGGACGTGGTACTCCACGAGCACGAAGAGCTCGACGATAAAATGATCTCTATTTTAAAATTAAAGTAAGCTTGGGTATATTCTATAATTATTATATTTCTTAGTCCTGCATCTACTCTTAGATTTCATTAGTTTATTTAGTATCTTAAGCAGTCAATGTTTGCATGATTTAAGATCTTAAATTTTCTGAAAAAAATCTACCATAATTGAATAATTATGGCTAATTTTTTATATGTACAAATCGGATATAGTAGCATTATTCATATATCATTTATGCTATAAACATTTAACGCTATAATATTAAAAAATATATATAACTGATTTACCCAAGCTTGTTCGAAGTTTCTTAATTATATATTATCACATTGAACTTCAGTACACACAGATTGTTAAACAATATGATAAATTTCAGAACTAAAGAAAAAAAATAAAAAGATATGCTTTTATGTACTGACATTGGTTATCTTGTGACTATTCTGTATGGAAAAATATTATTAATATTTAGTGATTAATTTCTTGCGCTGGAATTTAGTTCATCAATGAGCATGTCTAAATAATCTGTTATATTTCCATTAAATCTTAAAGATGTGACTACAGTAAATATATTTTCTGATACATTAATGAATTCGTCAGAATAATCAAATAAATAGATTCTTACAAGAATAGATACAATGATGCGTTCTATTTTTTTTATATATTACAAATTTATCCTAAATATTTCAGATTTATTTGTCAAAAATATCAGTTGTAATCTCAATCTATATTTATTTGAAAAAGTTTTGCACAAGATGTTATTTCTATATAAATTTTATAGATTTGTATAATAAGTTATAATATTATTTTCATTATCTTTATTGATCATCCATACCAGGTCTATATTTTTTTTTTCGAAATGGCAAAACAATATTATATTCGCTATTTTTTTGCTTAGATTTATCTATGATTTATTGTTTTTTGTTTCACTATTTTCTATTTTGAAGCAAATAATAGATGCAAATATTCTTTACTTAAAAATTAATAAAATTATTTTTATAATTTTTACTATTTTGATTATAATTAATTATATATTTTAAGAAAACTAAATAATTTTTGTGATAAATGAAATATATATATATATATATATATATATATATATACACACAAAGATGTAATGTATCGTTCATTATAGAATAATAGCTTCAACAGAAATAGTGATACACAATTTGTGCTCTTTTAAAATATATAATCATAATAAATATGCGGAGCATGTTATCCCAACGCAAGTTAAGGTTAAAACATCTTTATTATTTTTTAAATGATTAATTAATAACAATTAAGTAACAATCAAATGGAGATTTAAGATTCATTCCTAGTGATATACTGCAAATCCCAAAATATCTTATTATAAATAAAATTAAGATAATATAAATTTTATTTAGTTTATGCCTAAATATAATAAAATATTTGCCAATTAAGATTTATAATAATCGATATGAAAAACCAATAATTTTATTTGCTTTACAATTATATAATAAGTAAGAATTTTATTACAAATCTATATCCTTTATGATATATAACATATAAAATATTAAAAATTTCAATTCCATTATTATAACGAACATCATAATCGTTATAAATTAATTTAATTTGTAATAAAATTTACGTCCATGAAAAATGTTAGCTTTATCAGCCATATATGTAATATATTAATAACAAATGATATGTAATGTTTATTATAATTTCTTTACATTAATTATTCTTATTATTAAGTAAGAATTGTGCAAAATAATAATTGTCTATTAGCATCTAAATAATAAAAAGTAACACTACTTTTATATTATTTAAATAATTTTTCATTCTAACATTGAATTAACATTTATTGAATCGAGTGTATAAAAAGTATAAAATAAAATAAAATAAATAAATAATAAGTATAAAATAATTTAAAAAAAAATTGTTTTAGTTTATATTATTTTAATAATATTTATATAAAATTATGTTTTATATTATAGAATCAAAAAATTCTTAAAATAAGAAAGAATATAAGTAATTAATATAAACAAAAAGCTTATTTTTAGAATTATATATAAATTATATATAATTATAAAAAAACATATTATATGATTATTACATTTTATTTAAAATTTATAATAAAATAATATTTAATATATTATATCATTAAATACATTGATGTTAATCCATAGAAAGATGAGTTGCTAAGAACTCATCGACGGAATCAGTATCCCATTTATGTATATCCAGAATATCTTCAACTTTATTGTCTGCATCAAATAATTTAATTATTGGATCTAAACCTCTAACATATTTTATTTGTAAGTTTTTATATTTATTAGGTCTATTACTCTTTATGAAAGCTATAAAAAAAGAAACAGAATAAATGTATGCAATAAGTATCTCTTTATTTTTAAATAATATAAAATAAATTTACCTTGAATTTGAGGATATGCACCAAATTTGCATGTACATACTTCGAGAACAGCACGTGGATACCGTTTTAACCCAGACGCATCATAATCATCATCTTTTAAACAACATTCTTTGCAATTATTCCTATATAATTTTTATATATCATTTTTATTCTTTTGATATAAAATATAAAATTAATATAAGTATATTTATATATACTTACAGTATTTCTGTTAAATTATGTTTATTAAATTCCTCACAAGTTGAACAAAGTAAATTAGCTTTGTTAAAGCCTAAACTTTTACAATCATCAGCTGAAAATTCCATTGATACAATATTTACCTAAAGAAAATATTGTTATTTTTTTAATTTATAGTAATTTGTATTTAATAGGTTAAGTAATAATATTTTTATTTATTACCATTAAAATAAATGAAAATATATGTGTTAATTCTAAGAACTTCATTATATTATTTTTCATATATGAAATATATAAAATGAATCATATGTAATTGTAAAAAGAGAATATTTAACATTAACAATTATAGATTCTATATATATCATATGGACACATACTAGAAGCATAGACGAAGTATAAAATAGATTTAACATTCTGTAGAATTCTTTATATTATTCATTCAGAAGTATTGTTTTTACGATTTTGATATCATTTTCAATATCATTTGCTCAAAATAAGATTATAATTTTTTATAATAGTTTGAATTAAAAGTAAATTTCAATATGAAACTATAGATAAAAAATGAAATAAATATATACAGAATATCTTGTAGATTTATGTAAAGTAAGATACATTATAATTTTGAAAAAAGAAATGATAAAAATTCAAAATTCAAAAAATATCCAATTATCTTTATTATTTTTTTTGTCTAATCTATTTATTAAAAATCTTAACAAAAATCTATTCGATCCAATTTTTATATGTTGTAATATACGTATTTTATATCATATATTTATAATCTTATATATTATAGAGAATATAAATATTTTATGTATACAAACTTATCATTTTCATTGTAATTTTTTATCTATTATTGTTTTATATTGAATACCATCAAGTAACATTATATTTCACTTGTTTTTGGAAATATTAAAAAATGATAAAAATTGAATAGTTTTGAGTAGAGTGTAATGCGTTATAATTATTTTTTTATGGATCAATACATAGAGATTACGTGAGAACTTAATTTTCAACTTAATTTTTTTATATAGAATCATATATGTTTGAATACATAAATAGATACAGCATATTATTTTCAGTATATATATAATATTGTAAATAAAATATTTATAATCACAAACTATTAATTTAGAACATGTTTATTTATATTTAATTATCTTTTAAATTAATAATATTTTTTTAATATAAATTATAATATTATTTTGATATATAAATTATATTTTTCTATTGAGAATATCGAAATACATTATATTAACTCATGCATTAAAAACCACATAATTTCATTTAAAAAAATTAATAAATATAGAGAATATAGCAAATTGAACCACTAAATCTTTCTCTATTAATTTATTCTATGATTTTATTTTGATTTAAACGATTATTATTTAATTTTATTTTTTATATGTGAAAATTTTTTTTAACATTTATATTTAAGTTTTTAAAATTATAAAGCTGTATAAGCACGACTTTTTTTTTTCTTATGTTTCATTATATGTTTTGACAGATTTAATTTTAAATAGTCAGATTGTTGTTAGATGGCGTAAGAAACATGTGATCTTTTTCGAAGTCGGTATTTCAGAATACGAGACACGAAATTCCTTAAAATAAAAGGGTCTATTTTATATTTTCTTCTTACTAGGAAATACTTAAAAAATTCTTTCTTTGGATATTTGTTAATACTGAATCAAATTAATGAAGATATTGTTTTTTATTTTATTGAATTTTATTGAATTTTAATCGAATTTCAAATATGTTTAAAATATAGATATAGAGATATAGAATATATAATATAGAGCGTATAATATAAATTATTTAAAAAAACATGATGTTTGAAAAGAAAAGAAAAAATTTAATTTCATATTTATAACGAAACAAATTTTCAAAATATAAATATAATATTCAATAATATCATATCGTTTAATATTTACGATCTATCTCGATCCATCGAAATACAATCGATGTTAAATCGCAAATGTAAGAAAATTTGAAGTAACCAAAAACTTGGAGTAACAACTATTTTAACAAGTCCTTATGAATAATAACTTATAAAATAATAAAATAGTAGAAATGGATTTTTAATGAACAGTATAACATAAATAGTTTGAAATAACATATGTAATGCTGAAATTTTCAACTTACACAGGGATTTGGATTCTTACCATCCTTCTTTTAATTGCTCCTGTCATCAAAACCAAAAAATATAATATTGTTAATACTGAATTTTCCACATGTCATTACCATAATTATTATTATTATTATTCCCAAAATTGCGGATCATTAAAAAATTCTAATTATTTTTTTCTAAGTTTCACGCATGTTGTGCAAGACTTTATAAGCGTTTTATTAAATGGTACGTATATATATGATCCATTATTAATTACGAACCGATTTGATGGTAATAATTCGAAAAGTACAATTAACGATATAAAAAAATTGCAAAAATTATTGAAAAATAAATTAAAAAATATTCCAATTTATTCTAAGAGGTTATTAATGCCAAGTGCTTTGAAAGATACGATTAATCATTATACAAATGATACATTATTATCATTCAATAACGCATTGTCAAAGTCCACGAAAGGGAATAACCACTATCCCAAGTATCAGGTTGGTTACAGATGGAAACGAAGAACATTATGCGCAATTTTTAATAAGGAAAGATATTCTACGGAAAAATTGGAAAATAAAGAAGAAAGGGGGAAAAGGAAGACGTTATTAGATTACGATGAGCCACGTATTTTCACGAATGATATCGATGATTCAGATTCTTTAAAAGCACACGTACGAGTGAAAAGAAGCAAATCAAAATCGGAACCAATTATTAATTATCGACAAGATTATTTGAAAGATTTGGCTAACTCTTTCCCTCAAGATATTCGTGAATCAATTGAAAAAAATTCTTACAACGATGACGCAACGTTGCTCGATACAAAACGAGAAATTAATAATATTCGAATTAATGAACATCGAAAGGAGAATGAAGATCGTTCGAAACATCTTAACGCTGCGATTTCTGGGTATGAAAATAATGAAGATAAATCCAAGAGTAATAATTTTATCAGCTCGTCATCATCCGATGTAAGTAAAGTGAACACGTTAGAAAAGAAAAATATAAAATTCGTAGATAAAGAAATTAAAATTTTGCAAAAATTACCCTTGAATAATATACTTAATACGAATCGGCAATCGGACGAAAATTCAGAAATTGAAAATTTATCAGATCCTATGTTGGCGGTTGAATTAGTTAGGAAAAAACGAAACGATCACGCAAAGGTGGATGATAAGGAAGATAAAGAATATTTAAGAAAGAAAAATTCTCTCTCGTTTGATTCTCAAAATACGATCAATGAAAAAGAAAAATCTAAATCTAAGGGAAAAAAACGTTCGATACTCGAATCAAATATACTTGATAAGAATTTAAATCCATCGGATTCAATTAACGATGTAAATGCAAATTTACTAAGAATCAAAAGAAAAGAGAAAGACAATCATGATGGAACGAAAACAAAGTTAAAACGGAAAAAGAAAAAACATATGGGAAAGAAACATGATGGATCGAACAATTTTCTACGATCGATAAAAGACGTTCATTCGAAAGATATAAGCCGGTCGAAAGTGTCTCGTAAGAAAAAAACGAATAAAACGAAAAACAAGGATAAATTGAAAAAAGAAAGAACTATTAATGCGATAGATAAGAAAAGTAATGAAAATAATTTTCATCATAGATTCGTAAAATCGAAAAACATGATCGATAGGAGAGATATCGAAAACGATTCTTTCTTTAAAAATATTGAATTACCAATACACGAAAAATTAAAAACATCTGATAAGAATAAAATGAATGACGATATGTTGAAATATGTTTCATCAATTTCCTCTATTGCGCGAAAAAACCCAATAGAGGAAACAAGAAACAGCGATGACAATTCAAATACCGGAATAGACGAAAATACGAATGCGTTGATTGAGAAGCGAAATGAGAAGCGGAAAAGTTTTGTGGAAAAAAAAGAAAATTCGATTATTTTGTCGCCGCAAGATATAAAATTACGTATAAAAAGAGATAAAAATGCCGAATCGAATCATGGCTTTTTAAATAAAGAAGAGGAATTAAAATATTACGAGAACATTCAGGAACCTGGAACCTCTGAAATAAATCGGTGTTCTAATCGAGACAAAAATCAACTTTCAATGGTTAATGAAATGAATACTAATCGAGCGGTACGATCGATTGAAGAAGTTAAAGAACTCGCGAAGAAATTAGTAACGAAAGTAGATATAAATATATATCATATATATATATATATATATATATATATATGACGTTTTCTTTTTCTTTTAATTATTCTTTAATCCGATAAGAAAAAAATAAATTTCTTTTCAGGTAAGTGAACTTCAAAATTATTTAAACATCGAAGAAGACATGAAAAGTGAGAAAGAAAAGAGAAAAATTCAAACACGCGCGATAGACGATTTATGTTCGAATGTTAGCACTGCTTGTGACACTTTTAAAGAATCGCCTAAAATTGTTCAAAAATGTATGTCGATAAATCATGAACTTGGATCTACAAAAACGTCAAAAATTCTTGAGAGAAAAGTGAATCCAACTCAAATTACCAATGAGCACGATAAACTCGTCAAGATTCCGAATAAAAATATTATGGAAAAAAAAAGATCGGTGAGTAGACGTATCGTTAAGAATACGTCTCCAAATACTCCAAGGATAAGCCGTGAAAATGAATCAAAATCTAATAATAAATGGGGCAAATGGACAGATTGGAGTAGTTGTAGCGTTACTTGTGGTAAAGGCCGTCAAATAAGATGGCGGTACTGTTTACGCGATTGTAGCACAGCAGAGACCGAGATGGAGGAAAAAGCTTGCCAATTGCCTGCTTGTCCACCAGGAAAATTTCTTGGTATATTTTGATAATTGGTTATAATTGTTAACGATAATATCTTCCTATGAATGAAGCAAAATGGCTTCTGGTTTGTCTACGTTTATCTTGTCGATGTCGATGTACAATGTAAGATTTATACGATATGTTTTAAAAAAATAAGTAGATATAAAATGTATGTTATAAAAAATGAAAAAGAAAAACGAGGAGAGGAATATCGTTAATAAAGAAAGAATCAGAAGTAAACAAATTAAAATCGTTGATTTTACTTCTGAGTTATTATTTTAGCAATTAACAGTTAAGAAATTATTATTGAAACGAATAACCTCAACACTGTTTGTAACAAATCGCATGATGTATATTTTTTTTTTTTTTTGCTTTATTAGCAAATACACAATATATATATAATATAGAATATTTTAAACACAACTTTTTTTCTTCATTCGTATTCATATGTGACAAGATTTTGTTGCTTACAAAACAGCCTAATCATTATGTTTCAATTACAACGCGATAGTTTACTTTTTTTTCTTCCCTCCCCCTACCCCTCCCCTTTTCTTCTTTGTTTAATTTAAAATATCGCAAAATATTAGCGATGGTAAAGAATTGGGATAATTAACAAATATTTTGTGATATCATTTCATTTGTTTGACTTTTGTTCTTTCACAAATAATGTAATATAATTTTATTTATTTTAACGATCCATGTTTTTTTTTTTTTTTTTTTTTTACATTAGATCTCTTATCGTTTACTTAACAACTTGTATTTCTCTCATTTATATTTTGTTGCTTATATATAAACTAGTATCATATAAATTGTACAAACGTGATCTTCTTTTCGTTCCATTTAATAATATACAAATCGTTGAAAAATTTCTAAATACATTTAAGGCTTTCGAAACGACCTTGTGTAAATTGTAATTGCTTAATTTAAAACGGAGAAGAAAGGGTTAAGATAAACCGTGCTTACATCGTATTAAAGTATATATATATATCTACGATGAAATAATATAGAATCGTTCGTATAAAATCACGTGTAGACAAAGATCACAGTAATTGTCACATCCCAGCTGCATCGAATTATGAAGAGAGAAAATCAGAATCGATGGAATCGATGCAACGTACGAGACGATAGTAAGCACAATTTCTCCTCACGTTTAATCTAGTACCGTTAAAACGTCAAAAGACGCTATTATATTTTTGCATATTAAAACTCGTTTTAATTATTGTTCATAACAATCTTGTACAATCGTACTTTATTTTTAAGCTATTCTTAATTGTAACTACGAACTTGTGAATATTCCGACCGGCGATCTTATCATAAAATAATAATTTGTATAAATGGTCTTAATCTTCGATTTTGCTTTGAGAAAATTCAAAGATCATGAGGCAAATCAAATTTTAATCTTTCCGGGTAGATATCTCGAAAAATCTCGAGATATATGAAAAATATTTTAAAGGAAATCAGATTGTGCTGTCATTTATTTGATCTTGTAAAAAAGATCGATTTTTGATTTTTAAATTAAAACCTATTACTATTTTTTATTACTATATTACTATATTATTACTATATTATTGCTGGTATCAAAACATTTTCGAAACACTATCTAAAAATCTAATTTTTGTATAAACAATTCTCAAAATATAACGAGGCATTAACATTATCCGACGGGTACAAAGACGAATTATTTATCATTTCTTCATTAGCATAATGTTTTGAGCGTTCATATTTTAGGAATCGATTATAAAAATTAGATAAATTTAGATAGCGCTTCGAAAATATTTTTTAATGGCAACGATATGCAATAAAAAATATGTAGTTTTTAATTTAACTTAAAAATTAAACTTGTAAAATTTTAGAAGATCAACGTAAAGTTAAATAAATGCAAAAGTAGAAAAAACAAACGCTAACCGTTAAATCCATTCTTTTAATTTTTATTTTAAAAAATTGCTATTGAAATTACTCTTTTTTCTCAAGCGTATATAATTTTTAATCAACAATCAAGTTAAAGGGGAAAGCAGATAAAGAAAAAAATTATTTTAACGAGAAATAATATTCCTAATAAATATTCCTTATCCAAATTTCTAAAGAGAAATTTAATAATTAAAATTTTGAATCAAAATTTTATGAGATAATCAAAATAATTTTTATAGCGAAATTCTAAATTGTCGAAATTTATGAACTCTAGAAAGAAATTCACCGTCATTGATAAAATAAAAGTATATTTAATAGAAGTGTGAATTAAAAAGAAATAAGTGAAAAAATAAATAAGATTTTTACAAATAATTTATAATAATCACTTGGATTGTTTTATAAGATTTCATATATCATTTACTGATGTGGGAAAATTTTTGAAACGTTCCATTATAGCATTATTCCATATTGCTTTCGCAACGAACGAGAAACGATTGTAAAGTAATAATGTGAGATTTGTTTTCATACGTATAATAAAATTTTGTAATTTTATTTGATTAACGAATAAATACTTCATATGCGATGAAAAATAATTTCATCTAATTAAAAAAAATTAAAAAAAAAAATATACATCTGGGAACTATGATAAATTATTAATAATAGTTGACGAACGTTCCAACAAACAGATATCTAGGGATAAAGAACTAGGGGAAATTTAGAATTTCTTCCTCTAAGGAGGGAACGTAATATTTGTTTTCGACGTGTTGTCTCAGAAACATATGCGCCATCTAATGATTAAGAGATAATTCAATACGAATATAGTTGCTGTAATTCTCCATATTTCAGTTCTTATATAAGGACTATATATTGATTTTTATTACGAATCTAAATATCGAAATACGAAAATACGAAAAAATGATTAAAAAAAATGATAACATTTCTCTTTAGATCGTTCGATAATATATATACGTTTATATTTCAATCTCGATACCAATCTCGAATCTTTTTATATTCGCATCCAGCAACAATATTGACTAATACGATAATTACACAATGTAATGCAAGTTTCTTTTGTTTTTCTTTTTTTTTTTCTTTTTTTTACTTTCGTCAACAATAAGATTCACGCGTTTCTTTTCTTAAATATATTAATAACAAAATATTTATCAACAAAATTTATAAATCATAGTACGAAAAAAAAAAAAGAACGTGAGTCAATAAACATGCAGAACAAAATTAATAAATAAAATGAATTCTTTTGATTGCGCAAGTTTTGTTTTAAAATAATTTTAATTAGATAAGAAAGATTCAAATTAATGCGTTAAAGAGAAAAAAAGATAACATATTATGATACTATAGAAAATATGTTATAATCACGTGACAAAGAACCCAAGATCTCGGTGATGTAATATCTCTAATTAATAATATCCGACTTATCTATGGGACCACTTACAAATACAAATTGATCACAATAGTAAACAGCAACGTAAGTATACGTACTCATGAATATTAAACAACGCATATGCCGATCAAGAGTATTAGGACGTTTGCTATTTTTAATAAATTTAAAGTGTATGAAATATATACACTTCAAAAAGAAATGAGAGAAAAAAAATTGAATCAAATTGAATTGAATAATTTTAAATTTATATAAAATCTCAAAATAAATAATTGCAATAATTTATAAAATATATTCTAATACGCTGAATTATGTTGCATACGAACAATTTTTCAATCTGTTTTCAATTTCTACAATGAATATATTTCACGCATAAAATTAGTCACACATAAATATTTAAAAAAAGAAAATTTAATAAACAAAAGTTTCGAATCAATTTGTTCTTCTATCGTAATCAATTTTCTTTGAAGTATGACAATTAGATAAGAAAAGAATCGAGTATCAAAATTCATTTCCAATTAATTAATATTGTATTAATAAAAATATATTCTATATAAGAGAAATTGTGATAAAATGTATTCGATAACTGCATAAAAAGATTTATAATAATTTAAATTTTTTTCATTTATAAAAATTAAAGATAAATCTGAAAAATAAAGAAATCTGAATATAAGTCAGAAAGATAAGTTAGAAAATAAGCTAGAAAATGACATTGGAAATTGGTTTCTTAATGCAAGAGATGATATGTTGAAAAGAGAGAAGTAAAAGAGACGAATTACTCCTCCGATACAGAATTACAGAAATAAATGAAACCAAGTGAATGAAACAATTTCAACAATAAGAACAAGAGTATATGACTTTGGAATGAAATATTGATCGTTGACAGTTGAAAAATAATCATTGAAAAGATAAAATAAGAGAATTAATAAAATCGAATCCGCTTTTTTCCGATTTTGACGATATCTCTTTGAGGATATCGATCGGATTGATAAAATGGAGCAAAATTGTCAGTTGCTTTGCGTATTACGATCAATATCGAAATCAGATTATTAATCTCAATAAATATAAGTATTCAATTATGATACTTAAACATCTTGTAATCATTTCTAAATTTATGAGATCCTTGTTTTTTTTTTTTTTTTTTTTTTNNNTTTTTTTTTTTTTTTTTTTTTTTGATTTTCAAAATATCTTCAATGCCATGACGAAGAACAAGTGTGTTACGTTATTCACACTGAATATTGACAAAACTGGAAAAAATATTACGTATCGATGAATCTAAGTTTAAAACAGGATCGTTCAAATGGACTTGATCGAGGACAAAAATATCCGTTTACGAGGGATATTGTGACAAGAATAAAATAAAAAAAACATTAAGATATCGGAGGAAGACAGGAAGCGAGAAAGGGTAGAAGAGAAAAAGGGAGAGAAAGATCCTGAATATGGTAGGAAGACATTATTTACACGTATTACAAAAAAGTTTCGATATTAAAATTATGAAATAGCAATCTTATTCGTTTTCTCTTAATTTGAAACAGCATAAAAAATTATGAGTCTATTGAAACGGGCAAATTAAGTAAATTAAAAAGTATTCCAAATCGTGAAGAAAAATCGTGAATTTCTAAAAGTAAAATTAATCTCGAGAAGATTAAGAGACGAAAAAAAAAAAAAAAAAAAAAAAAAAAAAAAAAAAAAAAAAAAAAAAAAGAATTCACATTACGATTATTACTAGATTTGTGGACGCAATTATAAGAATACGCAGTTGATATACCGATATATGAGACAATAATATAATTATTTATTATTATTGGCGAGAAATATTTAAGGAATTATCGGTAAAATATATTCTCTCTAATACGGTACAAAATAGAGTACATAAAATTTAGTGAAATTTTCAGTATTCGATGATTTCATAACTTTTTACAAGTATTTATTACAATTGAATGTCCTAATACTTTTGAGTGGCAGTGTATGTTCACTTCTTTTTAAACACGCACACACACTCTTATATAACTGTGCAATGTCTTTTAACCATTGATATTTATAATCTGTCTTATAATCTAAAAGGGCATCGGTCCCTTGGTTGCAACAACAACGCTAAGTTGCACTTTTTCTATCTTAACTGCACTAAATAGTATTATATTTTGTTTGTTTGTTCGCTTCTGTAAAACTTGAGCTTTTTTTTTTTTTTTTTTTTTTTTTTTTTTTTTTTTTTTTTTCCTCCCTTTTCTTTTCTTTTCTTTTCTTTTTTTTTTTTTTTACATCACAAATACACCAGCTTATTCTTCGAAAAAACTTTTTCATTCGTTTTCTTGATATAACAAAATTGTTATTTCTTCCATCCAATCAATTTTCCTCTTACATTTACAAAGATAATTCACACGTGGAAGAACTTTCATACGACATTCTTTCTTCTTCATTCTTTCACTTGGCAGAGTTCGATATAAAATTGTTTCACGTGGCAGGAAATAGATTAGAACTTGATTCTCGTTCGACTTCGTTAAAACATTATGTTTTTGTTCGACTGTTCGGTTTTCGTTTGCGACAATATATCTAATACAGAATTCTCCTCGCCACCGGCTAACATTCGAACGTCTCTATCCGGATCTGATCTCATCTCTCTGAGTCTTTTCTCTACTTCTTCCGCCTGTTCGACTCCCAACCATTCTGCTAAATATCAAAATACATATTTGGTCAATTACGTTTAAAGCGTAATTTATATCGTATATCATATCGTGAATATATTAAAAAAATAAATACTTACATCCCATAGGAATAACGTTCTTCGATAATGTTCTCGCTACAACTAATCTTACGTTTGGTACTTTGTCGGTGGATAATTTTAACAAATTAGGTAACATTTCCTGGGAAAATCTATCCCCACTGATAGCGTTGCTTGATATTAATTTGGCGCACACAAAAGCGAACGTTTGCCTTCTGATCCATTTTTTTGCATATACAAGAGAAAATCTAAGCTCTTGAAATAGCGCCGTTACGTGACGTTCGTTGTCAGATAGATGAGCTACTATTTGCGTAACCTGTATAAAATTAAATATATCGAGTATAACGCGTTATTACATACAATGAGATCTAAGCGTGATTGTTTCTCAAGCGTGAAATATAAAAGAGAGGGAAAAAAATATAAATCATACCAAAGAAAGCGCAACATATCTCACAGCAGCAACTTTGTCGCGCAATAATTCAAGAGACAATGATACTATGTGCCGTTCTACGTCCGCAGGATTAAACAGATTCACAACTTCTAACAATTGAGTGGCCAACTCTTCCCGAAATCTCCAATTCCACTCGGTATCGGTGGAAAGGAATTCCTTCAGTCTTGGCAAATATTGGCGACGATCGGTCGGTTTGAGTATTTTCAAAAATGTCGCTAGATGTTTGAGCACACCTATTCTGACCTCGTCTAGATCTTTGATAAATCCATCGTAGATCGGAACAAGATCAGTGACGGTAAGTTCCTCTCCAAGAATAATAGCGATTTCATGGATACTGGAGGCTAATGTGCGTCTCACTTTCCATTGATTGGCACTTGCCAAAGATTGGTAAGCTTGCTTCAAATATGGCCAATTTTCTTTCCCTAACGTGAGCACAACCGCGGGAAAGCTAAAAGCGCAATGATGAGGAATATCCGTACCCATGTCTGAACATTGTTCCGGCTCGGCCATTGACAAGAACGAATCGATCAAATGTTGAGGGACGATCTCTTGATCGTTGAAATTGATAACATCGAATTTGTCCGTCGAATATTTGTCTTCTTTTAACATGTTATCTAATAACGATGCTTTACTAGAAGCTGTAATGCCGATCAACGGCTGTTTCCGATTTACATTATTTTGCGCCGCGGATTTTTTGGCAGCTTCGACAAGTTCGTCGTCCAATGGAAGATCCGGTGCTATGTAATAGTACAGGAATGGATTAAAATTTTCCGTGTCGTCCAATGTATTTTGATCATCTTTGTCATTTTTCAGATGCTTTCTCTGTATCTGAAATAAATTATTTACCAAATAATTGCCAAATTTCTCGTCGGAAATAAATTCGACGATCGAACAAACGAAAGAATCGATCTTCTGCTTCTTAACTCGAGGGGAAACGAAATTAAACTCGCGAACCATCGCGTCGGTTCGTTACTTACGGACACGTCGTACCTTCGATTTATAAGCTCTCATTCTGGAAATATGATCTTCCTGAGACTCATCCTCGTCGTCGTCTTCTTCGAAAATTGGTTTTTGTATTATCACAGATAAATTGAAGTTATCCTTAGAATTATGATCCTCTGCGTCGAGCGTATGACTCCGTATCGCGCACTTAGTGGGGAATATTCCTTCGTACAAATACCTTATACTGTAATAAAATGAGGATCGGTATAATATATTTTTTCTTTTCTTTTCGATTAAAAAGAAGAAAAAGATCAAAAAGGAAACATTGAGAGAGCATAACACAGAATGGAATGAAAAATGAATCGAAGGATAAGATTGGAAAAAGAAATAAAGCGGAATAATTAAAACGGAAGTAAAACAATGCGAGAGCGGAATAGATGAAACAGAGGATAAAAAAAACTTGTAGCTTTTCATACCTGAAACGAGTATCTTGTTGACTGGTAAATACTAATTCACCATGTTGATTATAAGTCACTTCGGTAAACTGTTTCGCGAACGTAGATATAAATGGTCCTAAAATTTGAAAGGCAGACATTCGCACCCATTTCGAATCGTCGTTAAGATGCGTGGCAAGAAGATCTGCCAAGAGTAATCGACGATGTTGAAGAGTCATACAGCACGAAACTGGCATCATAACGTCCACGCACGCTTTTCGGACACCCCACACTGTATCGCAACACAGATCGACAAATACCGGAAACTGCGTGACAGAGTAAAAGAAATATTATAATCTGTTTGAAAATAATATATCAATTGGAGGTATATATTTTTACAAAAAAAAAAAAAAAAAGAAAAGAAAAAGAAATGTACCTACCAATTTTCGGAAAAGAGTCTTCCTCCCGACAGCGGAGCAAAGTTTGCCAAAGTGCGACGCGCAGATTTTTCTCGTATAAAATTCTTTGTCTTTGCAGAGAGCGATGTATCTATCCAGAAAAATCTTTTCTGTCATCTCTTTGCCAATGAGCGGCGCCATTTTGCACATGAGCTGTGAATCGACATAACATATACGATATATCTTTTAGGAAATCGTGGAAACGGATATTATATATATATATATATATATATTTATTTAAGGAAACATGATTTAACAAAGAAAAGAAAAATTGGTAAAATGGATAAAATGAAAGGAGGGAACAAATAGAAATATTATACGATATGGATAAATTGATAAATTCGCACATTTTCTAAATGTCGTTTTTCGAATTCATACGTGTATTTTTTAATTTAAAAGAGAGAAAACATATCGGACAACGTTGCCGTTTGAATCTCGACGAAGATATAAATCGCACCGTTCCGCTCATCAAAGCTGGCTGTGATACGAGTCCAAGTTACCACATCACAACCACTCTGATGGGAGGAACAGTCGAATTTTCGGTGGATAAAAAAAAAAGAAAAAAAAAAAAAAAAAAAACCTAGAAAAGAAGAAGAAGCGGCAAATAGATAAAAGATGGCTCGAGTCGAACGAGTTCGGAATAATTGCGAAAGATCGATCGTTTCGCGACGATTCTCGAATACTTCCTTCGTATACCCGCATCCGTACGAATCAGAAGGTCATTGTTCGACGACCATACGAATTGGACTCGGAGGTGAATCATTCTATCGTTATTCGACAACATGGCGTTTCATCGTTTCATTTTATTCTTCCCCGTATCCGTCTACCACTCGTAAATTAGAACGATCGAATATTAACTCCCGTTTAAAAATCTTGGAACGAACTTTTAAATATCGTCACGATATTCTACATGTATCGATATCTGTTTACTTCAAATTCTAACGAATTAATTAATTATTTCAAGTTCGATATCGTTTGACGAAGAGAAGGAAACAAAAAAAAAAAAAAGAAATGAAAAATGAAAAAAGATAAGATATAATCTATAGGAATGACGCATAAGGAAGCGATGTTGAGATCGGTGTTCAATAAACGCGATCACGTCCTTCACGGATCGTGCGAATCCATGAGAGGAAGTCGACTATGAAACAGTCTTTCCCGAAATTGGAAACTGTGCGCTGAAGACTCGCTCTCCGTATCGGGACGGGACTCGATCGGAAATGTTTTTCTTTAAAATGACTCGCGATGGAACGATGTATTTCGCGGGAAAACGATCGCACGCCGCCTATAGAAGAATGAGCGAAAAACGATCGAGAATGGATTTACGAGCGTAAAGGCGAGCAACGTTACAAACGTTGGTTTTACCAGAGCCTATCTTAAGTCTTCACTCAATGACGATGAAAGATGGAACTCGATGAGAATCGATGATAATCGTTGGTTCGACGCGACGCCACGCTCATCAAAGCTGGCTGTGATATGAACGCTCGTATCAGCATATCACAACCACTTTGTGAGCGGTGCACACGCGCCAATCTTCCCATTTTTCGAACACAAGTTTCCTCGCAAAAACTATTGGGATTTCAGCGTTATCCCAATAACGGAATGGACGAATCGGATCAATTGGTGTCTCCATAGAGACAGAGGAGACACGGATTCGTTGCAAAAAACGGCGATCCAAATCGTCAAAAATGGCTGTGATATGAAATCTAGAAAAGCAACACGCCACAACCAATTTGACGATTGGATCGCGTTGCGTTCTCGTTCTCCAACGTGTCCTCCATCTTCTGCCTCCACCTATATCGCGTCCTCTTCCGATGGTCGTGCGAGAACACGCTCGAACGAACGAAGAAAAATAAAAAAAAAAAAAAAAAAAGTGAGAAGCGCGCGATTAAGAACAGAAGCGAAAAGATTACGCGTTTTATTATCCGTTATCCGGTGTTCATCGAGCATACACGGTTGATTATTAATTAAACGGGCATTAAGCATATCCGAACGAAGCGATACACGAACACACACGGTCCTTGACGATCGATTCTGCGGGCCAAGCTCATCAAAATGGCTGTGATATGACTCGAAACATTCCACAACCAATTTGATGTATCGGACCGCAAAAGGTATTTTCATTTCGGTGCTGTATACTCGATACAACGTTCGTCTCTCTCTCTCTCTCTCTCTCTCTCGCACACTCGTTCTCGCTCTCGCTCTCGCTCTCCCCAATCTGTACAATCTCTCCCTTTTCGCGTGGTTCCTCCGTTGCGGATCGCACATTTTCCATTCTTCCAAAAGATACGTGTGCTCTCATCCTTCTCTCTGCTAAATATTTCCACCACGTCTCTCTTTTCGTTTTCTCTCGCGCCGTAGACGGACACAATTTTGCTCATCAAAGCTGGCTGTGATAGTCGATCTCTATGACAAACCAACTTTGATGGTAAAAGCATGTCCTTATCCGGGGATATTTTGCCCCCGTTTCTTGTTCTTCGTCCTCTTCTCTCTCTCTCTCTCTCTTTTTTTCTATATATATATATATATATACATATATTTTTCCCCCTCTTTTTCTTACGACAAAATTTTACGACTTTTACTTTTTCGATACATTCGGTTCAATAATAACAACAATGATTCGATCCAACGAATTTAGCCAGGATTCAACAAGACGCACCGTTCTCTCTAATACTCGCTCCCCATGCGTATATATGTATACATACGTAGTATTTTCTTGTTTCCATATCGATGAACGTTGCGGCAGAACGAACGCCGGATGAAAGACAAGATAGTGAGACGCGATAGCGTGAGAACATCTCACTACCCATGTCTTTCAGACGGAATCCGCCCGAAGGAGGACGCGTCCGAAGATTCAACGACCATAAACAACACGGAACACCTCTCGATCGGAGATAGAACACCTACTACTCCCGATCGTTGCGTTACATTTCTTTGCATAGTAGTCGAAGCCGAGTCCGAATGGATCAAGAATGCTAGGCGCGAGGGACGCGTCTCGCCTTGTTTTCTCCCCACGCTTCTCCTCCTACTTTCGATACATGCACACACGTTTAACCGTGAGCAATTCTTTACATACGTATTCTTTGATTAAACAACGTCGACGATCGGGTTACGCTCCGTTTGAACGCGTTTAAAATGAGAAAACTCGTTAAACTACGCTGTCCCTAGGTGGAATTTTAAATAGTAGAAAAAGTGGAGAGGCGAGAAGAAAAGAGAAAAGGATCGATTCCTATAAAGTGTTAAGTTTTGTTCGACGAACGCATGTCTATTTTTCCAAAAAAAAAAAAAAAAAAAAAAAAAAAAAAAAAAAAAAAAAAAAAAAAAAAAAAACAAATCTCGCAAAAATTCGCGAAACGGGAACAAAATTTGGACGATGATAGACGTTAGGAATTCGTTCGATATCGCGATCCTTCCTCAAGTCTTCCCTTTTTCCCTTTCATTCTCTTCTTTTTCCTCTTTCCTCTTCCTCCTCTTCTTCTTCTTCTTCATCATCATCATCATCATCTTCTTCTTTTTTGATCCAGAAACGACGTCGATGAATTAAAGTCTATATAGTGGATTATTATAGGCAAAGAACATAACGATAACGGGGGGGGGAGGGGGGGGAAGAACGAGGTAAATTTATGGTATAAAAAAGAAAAAGTCGGGAAAACGAAAGAAACGCAAAATGAAAAAAAAAAAAAAAAAATAATATGGAAACTTACGGAGATGCCAGAGCTAAGGAAATCGACGGACCTACAGAGGGTTTCTATTACGGGACACAGTTTGACCTCGATCGTGATGTTGTCGAGAACTCCCTTCTTCGTTAACGTTAACACCGCTGTCTGGGCTGTCATTCGTACCTAGGCCAACAACCAGAAAGAAAAAAAAAAAAGGAATTCTTCAATGGATTGTATAAATTCGTTGCCGCGTTACGGTAACTTGGCGAAAAAAGGAGCAAAGAGAAAGAGTGGAAGTATATCCGGGCTGTCGAAGGGGACTTTACATAAGAGAGAAAAGATACTTATCATACATAAACGCAATAAACGTTCGATAATAAGCGGTGACAGGAGCATGGATCATAGAAATATTCACCTGGTTATCTTGGTCCTGTAGATATTTGATAATGATACCGAGCAAATGATCGTGAACGACATTGTCGAATAGATGAGGAGATTCTTGGCAGATCGTCGCCACATGAGGTATATGCTCCACCAGGTCCAACCGAACTTGCGTGTCTGAAATTAAGGAAAGAATGGATTTTTGAATCGTTCAAATTCCTTTAAAAAAAAAAAAAAATTCTTATCTTTTTCTTTTTTTTTTTTTTTCCTTCGTTTTTTCATTCAAAATCGTTCCGACAAAGATCCCTTCCTTATTATTAAATAAACAGTTATAGATGATTAAAGATCGTTAATTTGTTCGCGAAAGAGCAAACTTTTTGATCCTTTTCCTTCTTTCATCATCCTAACGAAGAAAAAAAATTCAAGAATTCACGAGTTACGGTACCCAGACTACCGTGAATGTAAATTTATTTTAATCGGCACCGATACGATCGAATAGGCGAGATATCCGCCAAAAATTTCCCTCGAATAATTAATTAATCGTGGAATATTCACGGATCGCGGAACGAGAATTTCTTCCCGCGTATCTAACGTTATTCCTAATTGCAAAAAAAAAAAAAAAGAAAAAAAAAGAAAAAAAAAAAGAAAAAAAAAAGAAAGAGAAATGAAAAAGAAAGAAAGAAAAAAAAGGAGAAGAAATAAAAAGAAGGGCCAGTTTGATCGATTGTTTCCGAGTCAAGAGGGGAAAGAACTTGGGGCATTTTAAGAAGGAATCCGATCGTTTCTTTGCAACTCACGATCGGCCGTTAACCGGCGATCATTCGTGCGTCGAAAGCGAAAAAAACAGTAGGGAAAGGCAAGGGGCCATTGTTGAACGTTTCCTCGACCTTGGACATTTTTATTTCCCCGACGGAGGCGTTTTCGTGGAAATATCTGAACGAGGAAGAAAGGCGACGCCGCGAGAGGGCACCACCCCCCCCGTTGATTAGGAAAAGTTGCACCTTTGCAACACTACGAAATGCTCGTAAAGAAAACGAGAATCTCCTCGAGGGCTGATCATTAGGGGAATGACCACGCGGGTTCTCCTTCCGCTTAACACACTGGTGGGCAGGTGGGAATTACGTCGCTCGTTAATTTGCTCGGGAATCTTGGTCGAGATAGCGTTTCACAATGGAATGGAATTTCGGGGAAACGTTTACGTTTCCTATACATTATAATTTTAACACGTGAAAAAACGATCAATCGATAGGATTAAATTTAACAATAAGATACGAATATAAAATAGAAAATTCACATACCATCGTATTTTTCCCCTAAATATCAATCTCCAACGTTTGGGAAAAAACTTTTAGGCTTTTCGTATTCCAATACGATGAGTAACGCAAACGGAATACTTGAATTAAACAAAATTAAATTGACGAATTTTTCTAAAAAAGTGTAAATAAACACGTCGAAAAACACGAAGAAAGAAAAAAGAAGAAACGAAAAAGTTAAAGTAATTGGTTGAAGCAGTTAATAAAAGACACACACGAAAAAACGCGGGAAAAATTGTTTTCCGAAGAAGAGTACGAACGACTCGGAAGAAAGGACGTTACAAAGCGACGAGCGTGGGTGCAACTGAGGGTCGTTCGTCGCGGGAAACGCACCTTCCCGATTTGTCCAACTTTTCCACCTAGGAGTGGGGGGATGTGAAGGGTAGCTGTTGCCCCACCAGTTGGGCGGCAAGGCCCAACTAGGAAGCGAGAAAGAGAGAGAGGGTAGGGGGATTCGTTCGTTTTCGGTCGTTTTCGTGAGGCCCACGGCCCGAGCACGTGCTCGTTTTTTCCGCTCCCCTCTCCCTTCCCCCCCCCCCTCCCCCTCGTTTCCCGTTTCCCACCGATTTCTACGATCGTTCATGTCGGCCGACGAAACGCGAACAACACCCTCCACATTCCCCTCCCCTTTCCGCACGCTAAGCAACCAACCCTAGTCCATTAATCACGAGCTGGGTCTTATCTACTGTTCCCCGCCTACTCCATCCTCCAGCCTTCTGTCCGGGACACGAGATCCCGCCAAAAATATCCCGCTGCGTTCCTACAGGATTAGGCGTCCACCGATTATTTACCCTCCTCCATCTCGAACCGTCGTCTTTTCCTTCTTTCGTCCTTCCTGACGTATACCTACTACGTGTACGTGTCCTCTTCTTTCGAGATCGCGTGGTCTCTTAGAAAGAAGGAGGAGGAATCGAACCACGATTCCGAATAGATTCGTGATTCGAACAATTATCGAGGACGATAATGAAATTTTTGCTTCTTTATCCGCGTCAGTTTGTCAGTTTTTCTCTTTGTAGTTCCACGAAGATTAACCTAGTTGTACGATGACGGCGATCGATCGACGGTGATATATATCGGATGTAAAGACGTCGATTGAATTCTTTTCATTTTTGAGGAAGCGTTTTTTTTTTTTCCTCTCTTAAAAATGACGTATCATTCCTCGAAGCAGATAAATTATAATTTCCAATTATAAAATTTATCCTCGAATCATGGATGGTTTTCGCGTTACAACTTGTGCTAGAACAAGAAAGAGGGAAGGGGGAAAGCGAATCGGAAGGGAAAATGAAAGAAAAGAAAAGAAAGGAAATATTCGTGAAGCTCGTACATATTCCCATTCTATATATGGCGGAGAATTGGGAGAAACCGTTCTCTCTGGCTCAGGTTGATCGAAAGAAGAAAAGGGGCGCGCGATCCCCTTCGACTCCGACTTCCGTGCCGCTCTAGGAAGCGACTCGTCCAAAAATACGCGAACGCGTGTGTCGCGTGCCCCCGAATCCTGAAATCTTGCTTCCTCGAGGCCAACCCTCGTCTACTTTTCCTCTTTTGCCGCGCGTCGCCCTCTCCCTCTTTCCACGCTTCGATCGGTTCACGGAAAAACACCGGCACGTGTTACGGCCAACATGTTCCTCCGCTCCCTAAAAATAGTCCGCTCGGTATGTAACACTCGACGGATCATGCGTCACAATGCATCTTTTTTCGACAGTTGCACCTCTCTTCGGGAAACGTTCGATGCCACGTAAGACAAAATGCGCGCGCACCGCATATTCGATCGAATCTTGGTAAAACTTGGAAAATTTCTTCCGTACGATCTATTTTCTACTTTCGAATTACATCGATAATCGATTAAGACGATTAAGAGTGACGTGAAAGAAGGGATTCCGATTCCAAGTATCGGAAATCTTAGAATCTTAGATGAGAAAATAATAGATAAGTTGAATCGATCGACTCGACAATTCTTTCTCTGGAAAATTCTCCGTTTTTACAAAATTAGCATTCGATTTTTCGCAATCCAAATGATTAATCTTTAATGGTATTAAGAATAAATATATGTTAAAAGGAACATTTTCATTACTCTCTATATATATAATCTATTTTACTTTACTCTAAAGCGTCTCATTTTGCCTCGTATAGCGAATGCGTACGATTTTTGATTTAATAATTAGAGATAAAAAAAATTGAAGTGAAATGTAAGAACTATTAATAGTGACATTTAATTAAAAAGTTATTACTATTCTTATATATTGAAATTTGTACATCTTAAATTTTTCGCGCCTTTCTTGATATCGAAACGAACCTTCGCAGAACCATGATCACTCTCAAAATATTTCGACCATCGTCTATATTTTTTATTTAACATTAACGATTTTATTTTTTTTCTAGATAAATTGATTAAAAAGATACGCGTAAATTATAATTATGATATTGAAAATGGACGTTATTCTATGGATCTATAATTATTTTTCTATTCGCTATAAAACTATTATTGTATTTTCCTCAAATTATAGGACGTCGATACGACCGATTCGTATGATCAAATTAGATACAAAGCAATGGGCTAATTTTTGGCAAAAACACATATCACACGCGTCGAATATCCATCATTCGTACGTGTTCCCTTCCATTCTAGATTCGTTAACGATTGTAAGCGTCTAAATAGGATCGATGGATTTACATATTTGCAATTGTTCTATGATATTCTCTTTGTCGTTGCGGAGTCGTGTATTTGTAAGAAGAAGCACTGTCACGCGACGAAGATATAAAAGTAGAGGCGTGCGTTTGTTTCACGCGATGGTGGAGAGTCCCGCAGAGATCGACGCGGCGGTCTTAAAGTGTTTTCGAAGGTTGGAGAAAAGAAAGGAGCCATCACTGGGATGAAAACGCAGTGGCGCGTTATTTTCCACGTTTCCCCGAACCGGTCCAGGTAAAAAGAAAACGCTTTTCGCAGAAGGATCGTTCTCGGCCCATACTAGTGGGTAGCTGTTGCTTTTTCAAAGGTGCCTCCTTCCTCTCTCTCTCTCTCTTCCCTCTTCTTCTTCGTCTTCCTCTCTCTGTATTTCGGGTTTCGTTTAGGGTGACGTTTCACAAGTAGATACTCATCGACGGAATGTCACGGATGACCTTTGAACATGCTTCTTCTTCGGTTCTACGAAACCTCGGCCTCGGCCAAAAATATTCCCGATCGTTTTCGATCTTCGAAGAAACGGAATAGAAGGGCGCTATTGACGCGTTGCATCGCATTGTTTCTCCAACTACCTGACCAACCGTGTCATTTATTCCTTTCGTTAAAATAATTTTAACGATGTAGATGTGAGTATAACATCGAAAATAAAATCACTTTGTTTTTGTTTCTTTGCGAATTACTTAACGAAATAAAATATAATGCGATAAAGAAAAAAAAGCGCGTCGAGGAATAATAATATTTTATGCATTTTCATATTTGTAATAAAATGAAAAAAAAACACATTGTAGATAAATATTAAAGCAAATATCTTTATATTCACGGCGGAATGTTTATGATGATTTATAAGAAAAGAAAAGTATATATCCTTGTATATCGATCCTTGAAACGCCTGTTTCGTTTCGAAAATGAATCGTAGCAAAAAAAAAAAAAAAAAAAAAAAAGGAAACTATAAAAGGAACTATAGCTCGTATAAATACGTGGCATAGGGAAATCAAAGAAACGAGAAACTTCCGGCAAGGCGCGTGCTACACCGGAAGCGGAGACAATCTTGTCGTCACCTAATACGGAGCAACAGCCTCGTCGTCTGCAACCCCAACTGGCTTCTTCGTCGTTTACCCCACTGGAAACGCGGAACACGTTTCTGTCTTCTCTCAAAAACGGGTCCCGGCCCATCTATTTTTAAACTTCTCCCAATATCCCACCCACGATTTTCGTTCCATGTTTTTCGTTCGAGGAAACGGAGCCGAGCCAACCGGAAAAACAAATGGCGAACCGCCTAAAAAGGAATTTTCTGGAGGGAAACACATAGCGCCTATCCCACGTGCACGTATTTCAATTTTTCTTCCACGACGAGAACGCCTCGTTCACGATCGGTATTTCTGTAAGAAGCGTCTCGGAACGAGATAGAACATGCCTTTAAAAATATTTACTTGTTGTTGTAATAGAATTCAAGTATTTCAAGTTAGATTCGATCACGAGAATTTATAATTTCGATTTTTCCTTTACGCGAAACAAGATTATTATTGCCAGATCCAATTATTAGAATTAATTCGAGTGATTTTTATATAAATGAAGATTGATGAAAATGAAGCGCAATAAATGTGATGATAAATTGTTTCTCAAGCATCACGGCAACGTGCACATCGTCTGTTCTTTCCTCGTTGCCTGAATAGTTAGTTTTAGCGGAGAAAAGTTTTTATTCGGCATAAAATCTTTTGCGCAGTGAGATTTGCAAAGGTTAAGTATACTATTGTTTTTTCAGCAAATATTCATTTCATTTTTTCAAGAATCGTGCAATTATGAAGTGTGGAATAAACGTGATATATACAAATAAAATGTGATTCTACGTTTTATATATCGGAAAAAATATGATTAAAATTATTTATAAAGCAAAGCAAACAGATTGAACGAACAAAAATTAAAAGGCAAAAATTAAAAAAAAAACAAAAAAAAATACAGCATCTCGGCAAGAATGCAAGATTGCATCGACAAATTTCGTCGTGTGCAAGCAATCAAGGATTTGGCTCAGAATTATTTCCAATCCTTTTGTCTCATAAGGTGCGATTTGCAAAATATGTATTATGATGCAATAAACGTATAAAAGTGCAACAAACCCTCGATCGTGTTTATCTTCGATGTTTTTAAATTTAATTTCATAAATTATAAAATTTTATTGGTTGAAAATATTATGTACATTAACTATCAAAAAAAGATTAAAAGTTTGAAAGAACGTTTACGTTTTTCTTTGAAATTTTTTTAATAAAGGATAAAACGTTAAAGCAGTAAAACGTTGTTTCGTTCAGTTTTCTCATTTTACACAGATGTATTTCAGTAATTAAAATTAAAAAAAAAAAAAAAAAGAAAAAATGGATTTTAAACTTACCAGGATCTTCGACAATCTGTTGCACCGATTGCATCACTTCGTTCACGTTAAGTTTCGTGCCATTGTTTGCAGCAGTGCGAAACACCTCGACCAACATCCTTCCGATTCTTTGTCTGCAAAAAAGAAGGACAAAACCTAGGTTAGTTGGTAATTTTGATCGAAAGAAAAAACGAAAGAAAGAAAGAAATTTTCATTCGAATAATATGAATGATCGATGAGAAATGAATGAAAAATCGATAAGAATACGAGAATAATTGTAAATGTAAGAATTTATATAATTCTTCGAGTTTGAATATTTAAGTACATCTATTTTTAAATTTATCTTACAAATAAAATAAATATTTGTATAATTTATATAAGAAATAAATAACAAATTAACTTTCTTTTTTCTTCCATTTTTCTATTTTTTATCGATACAATTTGAAATTTAAAATTATAACCATCGTTCCAATTAATCGAAGATTTAAACTAAAATTTGTTTCACGCAAAGATCGTCACAAAAATCAACAGAACTTAAAAATATAAGTGGTAAGCATTATTAATATTTAACATTTCTTCAAATTAATTCGTTGTCTTTAAAATCTAATTCTTCTCTTATCTTAAATTTAAATACTTTTATCCGCGTTTTACGTTTCCATACGTTTCTTAATATTAATATTTTCTATAATAAAAAAAAATATAATGAATACAAATTTTTTATCGATTTAGAATGCGTTTCAAAGGTTTGTATAAAATATTTATTCGACGTATAAAATAATTATCGATATAAAGGATTTTGAAATCCTGAATTTCACGAGAGATAATTAAAGATTCGAAAAACGATGCATAGGAATCTCATAGTTGATAAATCGGCAATTGAAATGATACAATGGCAAGAAAAGTTTGCTCATCGACATCTTATTCGTTTTTAAAATATTTTTGAAATTTAATTAATTAGATTCGTATTTTTGTCAACTGCAAATTTACCAGCAACGTATAAATTGGAAGATATACGTATATAAAAAAAAGACGATATCTCGCGGTGAATATAAATTTTGATTCAGTTATTACGGGTGAGATTGAAAAGGGAGTGGAGAGGAAAAGAGCGAAGGGAAAAAAAAAAGAGGGAGAAAAGGAAGGTTTACCCAAGGAAAATTACATTTTCTTCACGGAATTGCGGATGAATGCAAATATCAGCGATGGGGACGATAATTAACGGGGAACAGAGAAAAGAAGTTGCGGGGAGGAAGAGAGAAAAAAAAGTTTTAACAAGGAAACGGATAGGCCATGCGGCCACGAGGTGACGAGACTCGAATCGTTGCCGCGTCTCTGAAATTCCCGAGATCGGCCAACTTTCCGTTCCAAGCCTGCTTCCCCAACCCCAATTTCGTTCAAACTTGAAAGAAGTTTCAGAAACGAGGCGTATACTTTGTCGAATTTTAACGATCGCGGGTGTGGATATTCGAATGGACAGAAGATCGAAAGAGAACGGACAAATGGTCGGTGATCGTTAGTCGGCCATCGTGACGGCATCGAAAATAGGAGGCAACGTCCTCCTTTAAACGAAAAATTGAACGTAGTTGGCTACTAGCTAGCTACGTGACGAAAGAAAAAAAGTAGAAGTAGAAGATGAGACTCGAGATGTATCGACGTTGTTTTCACGGAGAGAAGGGAAGAAAAGTGACGAGAGAGAGAGACAGAGGGAGAAGGAGGAGAGAAAGAGCGAGAGAGAGAGAGAGAGATGATAAGATGGAAAGAAAAAAGTAGGAAGAAGGCGAGAAGATACGGCAAATTCGATCCTTCAGTTTGGCGTCCTCGCAAGACTTCCCCCCACTGTGCGTTAGGCTCGTCGCGATGGAGAGGAATTCTATCCCCTCTCCTCACACAACGTATGAACCGATGGATGCGGGGGAGATGTGGTGGGGGGAAGTTGGAAGAGAGCGCGGTGCTGACAGCCGCGAGACGAAGAAAGGTGACAGTGGCACGAGACTTTTAGAGCGATAAAGACCGAGCGTGGTAGGTTGACGAAGCGGAGGAGGAGGGGGAGGAGAGGCAGCGGTGTGGTGGGGGGTAGAACCGGCACCAACGAAAGATCGTTTGCGGTGCCCCACCAGAAATTTATCAGACGAGCGGAGGTGGGGGTGGCCGTTCTCCAAAGTCGTTGGAGAACGGGTAGAGGGATGGTACCGCCCGTGAACGCCTACCGTGCCGGCGCAAACATGGCCGCCACCAGCGTCGTCGTCGACGACGACACCGACCACGAGGATGCGACGACTACTAACTCCGCTCATGTACCCCTGAACTTCTTCTTCTTCTTTTTTTTCTCTTTTTCTTTTTCTTTTTCTTTTTCTTCTTGTCGGTCGCAAACGTCGCAAACGTTACACGCGAGGACACGTGGCAGATCGAGCCAGCGAAACGATTTTCTTTACATTCCCGTTTTATTCGTAATCAACGTGACGGTTTCAACCGATTACGGAGGATGTGGCGATATTCGCGGACCCAGCTTCACCCCTGGCCCAAAATTAATATTATAACCGAGTAACTTGGTTGGTGCGCATGTTCGTGTTTCAGGATGGTTCGTAAGATCGATAGGGAAGACGGTGGTTTCGTGACCGACCGGCTTCAGGGGCTGGTTTCGATTTTAGGGTAAAGTCGATTTACCACGGCTATTGTTCCCAACAAATATAACACGTTCCGAAGTGTTACGAAGTTTTACGCTTCGCTCTAACACGTATGATTTCCCGCTGATTCGACAACTATATCGATCGATATATTTATTGTAAATTACTCTATTTCGAGTAAATGGCGATCGTTTAAATTATAATTATAGTAAAATATAGGATAAAAATTATTAATTTTCTACTTCGTTACAATTTTAACGAAAAAGAAAATAATTTCGAAATTTATTTATTTATTGGTACAATTAAATTATAAACATAATTATCGTTCATGCCTTAGTATTGGTCATATTGCGAATAATAGAGATCCTATATATTGAATGATTACAAGAATAGAAAAAATTTATGGAAAATCACAATGATATCCTAAACAAAAAGAGCTGCATATTTTGAACATGTTGTTTCATAATTATTAACATATTCATCTAAGGATATTAGATATATATATTTCTTTGTAAGGATTTTCAATCAAATTACACAGATCCTTGATATTTTTCTAATCATCGTTACACGAAACGATAGAATTTGAAATATAAGATACATTCGCATCTTGCTGAAAAAGATTATCGTTAAAATATACGCTTTTGTTTAAAGAGTTGCATTAAATTAAACGAAGTATAAGTTGATGATAATTGAACGTTGAAAATTTCTCGATGTCGATGCACGAGCTGGTTCTCATTATCGATCACATTAAAATCGCATAGCTTTCTCCGTTAACGGGAACACGGCCGTTATTTCGGCGATTAAACATGACGTAGCGTAGAAACGTTCTACGCTATCGAGAGCGTGATTCTGTACGAATAATTAGCGATTCTTTCGGAACGATAAGAAAGGACGAGAGAGGAAAGATTCGGGAGGCTATTTCCGAGGCGTGGAAAATAATACGGCGTAGCAATTCCTGCTCGACATACGACGTGTGAAAGAAGGAAAACGAATTTGCCTTGTCGTTTCGAACACAGAGACTCGAGGAAATAGATATAATGCCGTGTCAAGAAGACGTAGAAATGATAAAGATAAACATACCTGGGTATCGGTAACTAAGTATCGTACGATAGCGTTCATTGATAAGAACTTCGAGAACTTATCGTTTCAAAATATTTCTTCTATTTCTATTAGGTATTAGGAATTAAATTTACGATTAACTTGAAAAATAATTGATAAAATGGATATCTATCGTTACGAAACAAAATTGACGTGCAATTTAAATTAAATGATGTTAATAAAAATAGATGATAATAATCGGTTTATTATCGAAACGTTGATTTTAGGGATAAAATACGTTTTAAAATGTCGTTTAATGTAATTTTATTTCTTCTCGATCTTTTTTAAAATTCTTTTAATCATCGGGAATATTCGAAAAATAATACGATTCTTGCGATATAAGAAGAATTTTCGCATACGTTTCGAACGATGAACAAAATTTAAATCGGAATGGTAGAAAAAGCGAAATCTCGGTGTTAATTGGCGGCAATAGATGACACGAGACAAAGACAATGTTGTTCCGTTCGTTAAACAAACGCATCCGCGAGACACGCCGCTCGACCAACTATGGGACAAGTTGACTGCGCTTTCTAGCCACCGGAAGTCAGCTGTTATCTCAAGAAGTAAGCCGGCATCGAACGACAAAAACTCGTCGTCGTCGTCGTCGTCGTCGTCGTTGTCTTCGTCCCGTCTTTGACGCGAGGCGACCCACATTTGGCTACCGTTTCATTGTAATACGTGCGACGCGCGATTCATAATCGTAATTTTATAACATATCAATAAATTGAAAAATCGAAACGTTTTCGTTCTTAAATTAAAATGAAAACAAACGACATCGATATTTCGATGAATAGACCATTTATACGAAATTGATGAAAGTCTTTTTTTTCTTTTTCTTAACTTGTGAGATATTCAAGAGTTTATACATATTTTTATTTATAAAAAAACCGATACCTAATCACAGTTGTACATAAATTTCTCCATGTTTTAAATTTAAATACATGTAAATTCGTATTACACGTTTTAATTTCGTTTCATTCTTATATTTCCGTAAATTGAAATATTTTTGCAATTTGTCCAATGTTTGAATAAATCAAATGAGAAAGAAACGAATAGAAGACTCTTGCAACACTTTCGTAATCGAACGTAATACTTGAAATATCATTTTACACCGATGAATCTTATATTGATCGAAGTATACGAACATTTTGGAATATAAGTAAATATTTCGATCCTTTTTTTCGCATTCCATTGCAGTCGTTGAGTCGAATTTATATCTTGACAGTTTTTTTTTCTCAAGGCGACCAAAGGGTAGGAGCGAGACAAGATAAATTCCCATGGGCCCGAAGGCTACCCTTCGATGCTCTCCCTATGACCCTTGATCAGGGTCCATTCGTAGCGAAGGGATCATCGTAGAGCGAGGGTCGAGAAAAAGAAGGTTAGGGTTCCGCGCCACCACTTGAAAACTCGCGTGT